TAGGTTTTCACTCAATGAACTCCCTGGCTGTGTGTGCACAACTGTAGATTAAGTATCCGTATTGATAAGTGCGTGATTGAGTAAATTGGATTGTACAAATCTCCTATTACTATTGCAACTTCGGCAGAAAATGTAATCTGGGTTAGGGCAATGCTGTTGGAAGGGGACTGATGCCACTTTTCTCAAACCGAAGAGTGAATAAAAAGTCATAAATCTCTCATTTTCTGTAGAAACTGACATGTTCACTATAACATGCATAACATCATCATTTTGAAGGACTGTTTTAAAGTTCTTCACACTTTTCCCACACAGTTTCTGCTCTTATAGCTGTGAAAACACAAATTTACACAGCTTACCTTATTACATTATTTTTCTTTTATTAACTTCCTTCCCCTCGCCAGTCACTTTTACAGTGGTTATAAACACTATGGGCATTCAAAAGGTTTTTTTCTCCTGAACTTCCTTAAAGCTGGTTAATAATCTCGACTTTCCCAGCGTTGTCTGCGTCTGATGGATTTGCGGTTTTGCTGCGTCACAGATAAGAACAGGGATTAGTTATAAACCTGTTCACATTTCAACACTGCAGAGATCTCACACGTTCACATGTTATGCAGGTGTTTTGGCTGCAACAACATGGCACTACCACAGACTATATACGGCTGGACAATGCTATCCCAATAAGGAAGTGCTCATGGACAAAGTTTTGCTCCAACTCGCTCTGGCTCTTATTGACTTGCATACAAGTGAACTCCTAGCTCAAAAACAGTTTTGTCACACTCACCTTTTGGGGCTTAATAAAAATGTGGTTTAGCACTCGGTGCGATTCTAGTGTTTTTTGTATTATGATAATGTCTTTGGTCAATCCTTATGGCTCATCTGGATTTAAAATTAAATTGGATAGAATTTGCGGTGAAAACTCCCATTTACCTTAGCAACCCATCTGCTCACATCTTGTGATAAACTACCACTGACAGAAGTGATGCAACTGGTTTGTGCCATTCGCCCAGATGACCACCACCAGCCATTCACACACACCAGACCATTTCTAGATTATGTGGGTAAAGTGTCCTGCCTAAGGACACAACAGTTTGGCACTTTACAGGCGCCCCACTGTGGAACCTGGTGTTCCCAGAGGTCTCCCATCACAGTACTAACCAGACCATGCCCAGCACAGCTTCAGACATCCGTCGGGATCTGCAGGGAGAGTGTGTAGAGAATAGTTCTGTTCTTAAATATTCTTTTGATAATCGATTAGTTTTTATTCTTAAGATCAGTGAATCTGGGATTTTTAATTTTCATTCCATTCTGCAGTGATTATAAAAGTATAGGTCATATCAGAATAATTTTTATTGCCACGTAGGTAACAGGAAGTCAGACTTGGAAATTGCTTGGCTCAGTGCATCAATCAGAGAGATAATAAAAAAATAAAGAATAAAAAACACTTCTAGGGAATAAATTTAAATTTAAAATAGAGTTACAGTTACTATTTACACTATACAAGTGCACATGGTGCACACAATGTAAGGTGACAGCAGTACAGTGAAGTAAAGTGACGTATGATGGGCATTAAAGTGACTTTATAAAGGGCGGGGGGACAGGTTAAGAAGTGTTCAAGAGTCCAACAGCAGAGGGGAAGAAACTGTTCTTGTGGCGGGAGGTTCTAGTCCTGATGGACCGCAGTCTCCTGCCTGAGGGGAGTGGTTGGAATAGTCCATGTGCAGGGTGAGAGGGGTCGGTTGTGATATACGACCAGCCCGGCCTCGAGCTCGGGCGACGTACAGGTCCTGCAGCGATGGAAGGCTGCGGCCGATCCCTTCCTCTGCAGAGCGCACAATGCGCTGTAGTCTCTGTTTGTCCCTGACTGTGGCTCCAGCGAACCACACGGTGATGGAGGTGAGGATGGACTCGATGATGGCCGTGTAGAACTGCACCAACATCTGTGCAGGCAGCTTGGCTTTCCTGAGCTGCCGCAGGAAGTACATCCTCTGCTGGGCCTTCTTGATGAGGGAGCTGATGGTCGGCTCCCACTTGAGGTCCTGGGTGATGGTGGTGCCCAGGAAACGGAAGGACTCCACAGAGGTGATGGAGTCCATCACGGAGGGTGGGGGCGGGGGGAGAGTGCTCTTCCTGAAGTCCACAATCATCTCCACTGTCTTCTGGGCGTTCAGCTCCAGGTTGTTACCACTGCACCAGGACACCAGCCGGTCCACCTCCCTCCTGTAGGCAGACTCATCGTTGTTGGAGATGAGTCCAATGAGGGTGGTGTCGTCCGCGAACTTGGTCAGCGGAGTCGTGGCTGGAGGTGCAGTGGTTGGTGTACAGGGAGAAGAGCAGGGGAGAAACAACACAGGCCTGTGGGGCTCCTGTATTTATAATCCGAGAGTCCGAGACATTCTTCCCCAGACGCACTCGCTGCTTCCTGTCCGTCAGGAAGTCAGTGATCCACCTGCAAGTGGAATTGGGCACGTTGAGCTGGGAGAGCTTGTCCTGGAGCAGGGATGGCAGGATCGTGTTGAAGGCAGAGCTGAAGTCCACGAACAGGACCCTGGCGTAGGTCCTCGGGGAGTCCAGGTGCTGTAGGATGTGGTGGAGGGCCAGGTTAATGGTGTCGTCTACAGATCTGTTGGCTCTGTAGGCGAACTGCAGGGGGTCCAGGAGGGTGGAGGTGAAGGACTTGAGATGGGAGAGGACCAGGCGTTCAAATGACTTCATGACGACAGACATAAGTGCTACAGGTCTGTAGTCATTGAGTCCTGTAATCCTGGGCTTCTTCGGGACGGGGACAATGATGGAGGATTTGAAGCAGGCCGGGACATGGCAGGACTGCAGAGAGGTGTTGAAAATGTCAGTGAACACAGGAGTAAGCTCCCTGGCGCAGTGTCTGAGTGGCCGGAGACATGTGGTCCGGGCCAGGAGCTTTGCGGTGGTGCAGCCTCAAGAAGAGTTGTTTAATATCTTTAGAGGCTATTGTCAGGCTGGGGGCAGGGCTGATGGGTGGGTCGTTAGAGTAGTGGGGGGTGGGGGAGGGAGAGGTGTCAGGGGCAGCATCAAAGCGACTGAAAAAAAAGTTCAGTTTGTCAGCTAGCTTGTGGTCGTCAGCCAGTGGGGGAGGGTCCCAGCTCAAAAGTGGCCAAAATGACGTGCGCTGACATGCTTGCAATACCCCCCCGGGCCGATGGGGGTGGACCCAGAAGTAGAATTAGCCAATGCTATATATTGGCAGACCTCTCAAAAACGTCTTTACAGGATGGACCAAAAGTTGGCTCTTGGCCCAAAGCTCCGTTGCACATGTGTGTCAATGCTGAGGGGGGTGGATTTTTTTGGTCCACTCTAGTTTACTTGCTGTGAATTTTTAAAGTCTCGTTCAAATGAATGGAGTTGCGCCGGCTGACGCATGCGCAGATGCGTTTTTTCACAATTTTCTTGTGGGCGGGACCACTCGTGGCCATTTTGGATTGCTCCAGTAGAGCACATTTTTTGGCCCATTAGTTAGAACGGCAGAGATAGGCGTGACTCAGTCTATGTCGTCAGCACAGGGGGGGGCTTTGGGCTTGTAGTTGGTGATCTCCCGTAGGCCCCTCCAGACAGAAGCAGTATCATTGTTACCCAACTGCTCCTGTAGTCGTTCTCTGTGCCGGGACTTGGCTGCTTTCAGTTCGTCCCTGAACTGATATTTAGCTGCTTTGTACCCGCTGCGATCCCCCTCCCTGAAAGCAGACTCCTTTGCTTTCCTGAGCTGCCGGAGTTTAGCAGTGAACCAGAGTTTGTCATTGTTATAGATGACCCTGGTCCTTGTTGGAATAATGCTATCCTCGCAGAAGTGAATATATGACGTCACAGTGTCCGTGTAGTCATCCAAACTATCTGTGGCAGCTCTGAAAGGTCCCAGTCTGTAGATTCCATGCATGCGCGCTGCTCTTCCACAGCTTCATCAGACCACACTTTGGAGCTCCTCACTACAGGTTTCGAGAGCTTTAGTCTCTGTCTGTAAGCAGGAACCAGATGTATCATGGAGTGATCTGAGAAGCCGAGGGCTGCTTTGGGAACAGCGCGATAAGCTCAGCGCACAGTGGTGTAGCAATGATCCAGAGTGTTCTCCTCTCTGGTCGGGCATTTGATAAACTGTCTGTATTTGGGTAATTCCTGGCTCAAGTTTCCCTTATTAAAATCCCCCAGGATAATAATCAGAGAGTCCGGGTATAAACGCTCCATTCACAGTACTTGCTCTGCGTGTCCGTGCATGGCGGTATGTAAACAGAAGCAAGAATGAATGAAACAAATTCATGAGGGGAGTAAAATGGTTTACAATGAATGAAAAGATATTCCAGAGCAGGAGAACAGTGCTTGGAGATCACTGTCACATCGGTACACCAGTTTGTATTGACGTAGAAACAGAGTCCACCGCCTCTGCTCTTTCCTGATAGCACACAATGGCGATCCGCGCGGAACAGCTCAAAACCCTGCAGTTCCAAAGCGCAGTCCGGGATCCGCTCATTTAGCCAGGTCTCAGTGAAGCAGAGGACACAGGATGTGGCGAAGTCCTTGTTTCTTCTCATCAGCAGGCCGAGTTCGTCCATCTTATTACCCAGTGAGCGTATATTGGAGAGAAAAATGCCGGGGAGAGCCGTGCGCGCTCCTCTTCTCCTAAGACGCACGAGCAGGCCGCCACGCTTTCCCCTTTTACGGGCCCACACTTTTTTGGCCAGAACATGAACTAGATCAGCCGCAGATGCCAAGAAAACAGGCAATAGGTCCATGGGAACGGTGGGTCGGATGTTCATAAGTTCCTCATGGGTGTAGGAACAGCCAGATGCACAGTTAAAAAGTAAAAACAAAAGAAAAAGAGAGCAGCAAAGAGCCGTGTCGACCGTACGAGGCGCCATCTTGTTTAAATCTATGGATGGTCAAAACACAATCAAATACTGAAATGGTAAAACTATTCCATTAACGTGTTACAGCACTTATAATTTGTGGCACTGATTTAAGTTGTTGTGTTGCAGGAGTCAAATGTCGTGCCTGATGTTGGCATCCAGAGATGACTACTCTAAAGTCATCAACCTGTTAGTGTCACACGGAGCCAACGTGAACAGCCAGGACGTAAACGGATTCTCTGTGAGTTTAAACCCATGGATGTATGATAGGGATGTGAAGATTCACCGATTCGCATCGGTGGTCCGACACAAACGTCTGGGATGCAACTACACGGATACATTCATGGCGCATCGGATATAATTTAGGTGTGAATTTGCGGTGCATCTCTTCCAGCCTGTCTGCATCGGTAGATTCCATGGTTAAATCGATTGTTCTATTCGTTGCCCTGTCATATTTCCGAGGCAACCTGAATGCACCATCGCTTCCTCGGGCTCTGACGTAAGCTTCGGGTCCAAAACAAGCATGAACGCTCACAACATAAACGGCGAGGGGATTTTTAATGGCCCCAAAAAAAACAAGTCAAGCGTGCGGAAATGCCGGGTGCCGCCTATCAAATACGTGGGTAGCACAACGAATCTGGCAACGCATCTGAGAAGACTGCACGGCATGGATACCTCCGCGGCTGCTGCAGCAAAGTTGGCGACGCGAGCAGTAGGTCTAACACAAACTTCTTTGGTCAAAACACGCCTCAAGCAGCTAACTCTGCCCGCTCCCAGGCCTTAACTGATGCTATGATAAGATTATTTATTAATCTCACACAGGAGAAATTTACTGCTATAGCAGTTAGTCTACTTCATCTCCAAAGATATCCAGCCCTACAGCGTTTTAGAGAATGAAGGATTCAAATAAATAAATACTCTGTACATACTTCACAAATTCTAATAACCATAACCAAATATTAAATACATCCATCATATTGATAGAGTAAAGCAGAATTTGAGGTAAGAAACCTGATGTGGGCTAATAAACTCTCATACTAACTGTATCGAACAGAATCACATGTCAAACCGAATCCCGTTGCAAATCAGTCATATCGTTATTAAATCATCTTCGAATCGCATCGTATCGTGAATAGGAACGAATTGTATTGCATCGTATCGACAGGGACTTAATGTATCGTTAATGTATCGAATCGCTGGTAGTGTATCGAGATGTGTATCAAATCGGCCTCAGTGGTGGAGATATACATCCCTATTGTATGATATTAAGTCGAGGGTGTGCCAAGAGTTTTTAAAGAAGTTGGACGTAGATTTCAGTACAAGGCTCCATCAGACTGGAATAAACTCACCACATCCATATGATCCATTCTGTCTTTTGGTTTATTTAAGTTTGAATTATTTAGGTTCCTTGAAACTCCTTGTTTATGTCACTAATGTTCTGTATTCTGTGTCATTATTGTTAATAGTTTTTACTTTGTCTTTTTCTTAATGTTTAATTTTAGCAGAGGGAAGGAGTGGGCTGCGAAGGAGCATTTGTTTCATTTTTTGTGTGTGTGTGTGTTTAATTCTCATCTTTAATTCGCTGTAAATAGTTTTTGTGTATGTGTGTTTGTTTATATGTTTGTATTTATGTTTAGGACCCCCTCGAAAATGAGATGATTCATCTCAAGGGGCTTTCCTTAATAAACTTAAAACTTAAACTTGAACTAATTCTTATTCCGGGTCCACCCCCATCGGCCCGGGGTGGTATTGCAAGAATGTCAGCGCACGTCATTTTGGCCACTTTTGATCCGGGACCCGCCCCCACTGGTCAGAACGCTCACGTGTTACTCACCGGTCTTACAAGACCGGGAGCATGAGCCAATGAGCACAGGGCATTGATCTGAACGGGCAGACATCTTTGAGACTCAGGGATTGGTTAAACTAGGACTTGGGACAATTTCTAATGTTCCAGTAATGTATATTGTGAAAATGATTTGTGGTATACTCTTGTTTTTACTCAGGCCTTATGTTACGCTGCGCAGTATGGTCGAGAGGAGTCTGTGCTCAAGCTGCTGCAGCTCGGAGCCGAGAAAAACCTCAAGACAAAAATTGGGAGAACCGCCACAGACCTGGCAACGCAGTTCAAGCATACCCAGGTTCAGAACTGCTGCTGCTACTTCTACTGCTGTTGTTCCTTCTATTGCTACTGTACTGCTAGTACGACTACTACTGCCGCTGCTTTTTCTTCTGCTGCTACTACTACTACTGTTGGCTGCTCCTACAACTAGTACTGAGGCTGCCGATACTACTATTGCTGGTGCTGCTGCTACTAATACTACTACTGCCACTGCTTCGATGACGTCCCACGACCCACGTCAATTCTTTTGTCTTTTTTAGATTATAAGAATCCTCTCCTCCACTTCGAGCCAAAACTCCTGTTCCAATCCGTACTTCTCAGAGGAATCCCAAGACTGGTGAAGACATAACTCTCTTTAAGTATTGTGCCTGGTGTGACTTGTGTGTTTCCCCTGACCCACATGTAAGCAACAGTCAACGTTGCCTCCTTTAATTTCCCAGCCTGAGCTTCTCATCATCAATATCAGTATCTGGAGACACATTCATACTGCTTTCAATTTTGCTGCACTCTGGTTTTGCACTGCCCTCTGCTGGTGTATAAGTGAACAGCCACCATTAGCATGTGAAGACAGACATAAACAAAAACGAACTCCACTTCAATATAAGTCACTTGCATTGCAGCTAAACCACGACTCAAGAAATGTGTGTTAAACTCATTCACCAAATGTGTTCATCACTTACTTTAACAGGACATTGATCACTGAGCGTTTGATCTTCTCAAAGGTTAAAAGATTAAAATGTTAAAATAGAAAATTGAAGTGGTTAACTTATAACGATTGGACAGAAAGGAATCCGTTAAATCAGGGGTGCTCACACTTTTTCAGCATGCGAGCTACTTATAAAAGGATCAAGTCAAAATGATCTACCTACTACAAAAATGCAAATCATATATTTCAAAAAATATTCTTTATATCTACAATGTATGTTTATGTACATGCAAAACTGCATGAGCCAATATAGCACAACACAACACAATTACCTATGTACATTTTTTGTCATTACCCGAGTTTACTCTTATGACTTGCACTGAATTGAATCGGCCAGGGATGCATAGTCCGGAAAATTGGTGGTAACTCGCTGACAAGTTTGTCGTGGTTTAGCTTTCCTGCACTGAGCGCGGTTGTTTGCGCATGTGCAGTCACCTAAGTGTCAGTAAAACATTACTGAGTAAAACACAGATGTCATTTGACTGTGGTGCCATGTCCATGTGCCATGCCTGTTTTTTTTTAAATCCAAATATTTCCCCTCCTCAGTTTATAAAATAATTTTCATCCACACATGGGCGTTATCAATCACATTCGTAACATTCCAAACATGTGCGTCTCTTACGTCCTGTCCTGCGTTGGGGAAAAACACAGAAGTGGGCGGAGTTCTGATGCAGACGCCAGTAACGGCACTTTTACAGTCATAGAAGATACTCAGAGTAAAGACGTATGTTTACAAGCACTGACCCCGTCCTCAGCCCTGGTTTAGTCCTGGTTTAGTCCTGGTTTAGTTGTTTTCTAGCATGAGTCCCCGCGATCACTTTGCTGCTCTTTGATGTGGAGCGAGGATGTTCGCTGCTGCGAGCATCTCACAGCGAACAGTTTTTAAGGTAGTATGATCCATGCTTCAGTGATCAGAGGAATTTAGGGGGGTACTGTGGCGTGCGAGAACGCAAAACTCTGGTTATCTCTGTCTACACACAAATGCATTAACGGAGTTTTCAAAAATCTCCACTTTGCCCAGAGTTTTTTGTATATATTCGTTTAGAATGTGTAATTTTTTTATTTATTTAATGCGATCTACCAATACTACCTTTGCGATCGACTGGTAGATCGCGATCGACGTATTGAGCACCCCTGCGTTATATAATACAAGTCATTGGCTGACATTATAAATTATTCTTATCCCATTCATAACATAGTGTAGAATATTAGCTTTTATTACAGACAGAAAATTGTGTAATACATTATTTTAAAGCTGAGGTACCCCAGCTTTAAAATAATGTATTACCCAATTCTCTGACTTTCAAACCCTAGTGTAATGAAATCCATGTCAGTTGACCCTTGCTTTGTTTTCACATGCATGTATTTTTTTTACCTGTCACATCTTTAAATCAACTTTTTTCAGACCGAAAAGTGAAAAAGAGCAGACCACCCAAACTCAGCCAATCAGTACTCAGCCCATTTATAGTGGTAAATGACTGTGATATATTACGGGAGAGTAAATCTTCAATCAGCATTATTTATATGGTTGGTTAAAATATGCATACTATACTTTAAAAAAATCACAAAAAACATGCATTGGATTTGGCATAGAGTTGCAGGGCTTAATAGTTAAGTCTTTAAATCCGGGGCACCATACTACTCTCGTTGAAGCTGTGGTACCAAACAAAAGTTCGACATACGGAATTTAATCTGTGACTAGGTCTTATCACTCAAAATATTTTGCTTATATTATTAATTTTCATGTCTCTTTCAGCGCTGGAAAACTGGATGATCTGGAGCTTCTGTTTCACGGTCTGGGCCTTGGAAGCCTGACTGACATCATCATTGTGAGTCCTGGTCGTGGAGCCCAGACATTTAGTTGTCGCACATTGCAAAGGACCTAAACCTTTATAGAAATAGAAAAATTGCTATAAACATAAACATACAGTGCTCACAGTTTATGACTGTACGCAGAGATACCAAACAGCACCTGTTTTGGATATTAAAAATCCAACAACAGTTCCCAATTAGTGGGTGAACAATCCAATGCTTGGTGAATTCTGCTTCACAATGATAAGAGCCGACATTGAAGGATCGCATAGAAGTGAGCGAGGGACCCTCGGCTCCTGTGCTGTGAGCTTTGAGAACCCCCCATTTATGCGCTGCGTCCATCTGTAACTTTTGTTTTCATTTCTTGTCGATTTTACTCATGTGTCTTTTTAACTTTTTGTTTTGACGTTTTTTGTAGAACCACGACCTCAGCTGGAGTCAGCTACTCAACATGGACCAGAACGACCTCCACAATGTACGTGCAACAATTAGATAAAGCTATAAAGCTGGGGTTTGTCCTAGCAGAAAGAGTCTTGTAAAAGTAAAATCTGTCCATAACATGCTGTCTTCATCTTATCTTTTGTACAAGAAAGAGCCCTGTGTGTCATCATTTGACACTTTGGGTTAAGAGCTAATTGGATGAGTGAGGGCAGTCCTGTCTTTTTCACTTTTTGAGTGGAAAAAAGACATGCATGTCAAAGTTAGTGACAGTAATTTTCCAAAACTTAATAGCAATAAACTTAACCTCTTATCACTGAACCCAAGTCACTCCTTCCTTCTGCTCAACACATCTCCTTCAACATTAATGGCCACACTCCCTCCCCTTCTGTGCGTAACCTCTGCGTTATTAAAGGACTCCACCCTCTCATTTTAACCATCAACCTCTTCAAAATATTATTTTTCCACCTCTGTAACATCGCCCGCCTCCTCCCCTTCCTCTCACAATTCACTGCTGAAATACTTGTTAACGCCTTCATCACCTCCAGTCTCAACTATTGCAACAGCCTCCTCCACAGTCTCCCTTCCACACATCTCCATAAACTACAATACATCCAGAACTCTGCCACCCACCTGCTCACCCACACCCGCTCCAGTGACGAAATCCTCAAACAACTCCACTGGCTCCCTGTTCCATACTGCATCCAATACAAGGTCCTCCTCGTCACATACAAGTCCCTCCATAACCTGGCCACTCTCTGGAACTCCCTCCCACCCCTCATCAGAAACTGCAACTACAGAACTTTAAATCACTTCTCAAAACCCATCTGTTCCACCTTAATTTTGTTCTTCAATGTTTATTTTTATGTTTTGTAAAGCATCTTGTGACAGAATTCAGTGTCAGATATATTATTATTGTTGTATTATAGAAGCAAACTGTTTTGAAAGCGAGAGATAGAGACTTGAATTGTATTACATACGTAGTAAAAAAAAAAAAATCTTTGCCGAAGAAGGACGAATGGGTGATTTTTCTGAATTCCTGCACTTTGAATCTCCATTTGAGGACAAACTTCTCTGTGGTTGACTATAAAGATGTGCATTGTGTGTTATGTGTCAGATTGGGATCTCCGAGCCCGGGGACCAGCAGACTGTCCTGAAGGCCGTGCAGCAGATGGAGCTGGACCGAGTGGGTCTGCAGACCGTGATTGAGCTGGGAGCCTCCAACGAAGGGTCAGTGTCAAGTCCAGGTCCAAGTCCAAAATACACACAATTCAATCCAAGGATCAGCTCAAGGCCTTTTGCATATTACACATAATGTATTGGATCTTTCATCCAGGTTGCATTACATTTGTTATTGTTGATTTGTTCCTTGTGATTTCTGCCACAAAACTACTGTTTAAAGCTAGGCTACCTAACTTTCCAACCTCAAAAAATATTTGTTAAAATCCCTCTCCAAACAGTTTGCTTGTATCTAGTTTTCACATTAATGTATTTTTGGCCTCTGTCACATCAGCTCTATCAGACAGAAAAGAGAGAACCATGCTCACTCAGCCGATCAGCTCTCAGCCCAAAGAGTCAATAGTGTTTCACAACACAATTGTTTGTGTGTTTCATACTTTTACAAGACTATCTGTAGCTCAGTCACACGGAAGGAGCTCAGAGAAGAGCCACTTCTTCTCCATGTCAAGAGGAGCCAGTTGAGGTGGCTCGGGCATCTGCCTGGGATGCCTCTTGGATGCCTCCTTAGGGAGATGTTCCAGGAATGTCCCGCTGGGAGGAGACCAGGGGAGGACCCAGGACTTGCTGGAGGGACTATGTCTCTCAGCTGGCCTGGGAACACCTCAGGATTCACCTGGATCTTGAGGAAGTGTGCAACCCGGCAACGGATAAAGAGGAAGAAAATGGCTGGATGTATCTAAGACTCTTTCTGTTCGGACAGCATGGATACCCCAGCTTTAACGTGTGCCGTTTTCAAAGTCCTTACTACTTCATCCTCAGCCTATGAGACCATGGACAGTCATATTATGAAAGTGAAAATGCATGGATCCTTCTAAATTACAGCTTCAGTGGGTAAACTTGAAAAGGAATAACTGGCTAAATCTCTTTTTGTCAGTCCTTGTAATGTTTTATCGGTGTGATTGGTGGCGAAAGGGACAATATTCCTGACACTGAGAAACCGTATTACCACATGTTTTGACTGTATGTGCTGTGTGAGACCTCCAGCTGATCCCTGTTTCTGTCCCAGAATTTTAAACGTTCACCTCTTAGTCATTTGTCTTTATGACAGAGTTTCAGATATGAACATGTGGAATCTCAGTGCTGACCTGAACTCAAACATGGACAGGACTGAGACTTGAAGCTCCTGCTTCAACAATGTGTCTCTCAAAAAGTTACAAAGATACATGAAAAATCTGGTTTTGGCTGTTTTAAAGATTATAACCACATCAACAGAAACCCTTTCCATGTCATTCACTGAGCTATATTTTGCAAAACAAAATTACTTATATTTTTTCTTAACCTTTCTGCAATTTATGCTACCTAACATTTTCTTTAATAAATAATCCGTTATTTAGCCCCATTTCCACCAGCCCCACTTGGCTCTTCTCTTCTCTACCTAGTTGCGTTTCCATTGCACTTAAAGGAATAGGCCACCGTTTTTACATACTGACATATGTTCTTACCTTAGACTAGTTGATATGTACCTGTGTGATCTTTGTCTGTGCGCTCTGTCATGGAAACGGAGCACAAACTCAGCCGTAATAATACGAGGAGCGCTATGTCCGCGCACTAACACCCAAAGACTTCACTTCCGCTCACTTCCGTCAATAGAAGCAGCGTGACTTGTTGGAGTTAGTGCGCGAACATAGCGCTCCTCGTATTATTACGCTTCACAATATAGTACCCCTTTTTATACGCTGAGAAAATCAACATATTACATTTCTGTGTTACTGTACTCTGTAGTGTAACACGTCACATAACTGTATTTAAATAGGCAACACGTGGAAGAGTTTGGTAGCTTCTAACGGGAGCTGATTTGTTACTATACAGAATGTGGAAGAGGCTGCGTTTGTGCTCCGTTTGGATGACAGAGCGCACGGACAAAGATCATACAGGTACATATCAACTAGTCTAAGGTCAGGTAAGAACATATGTCAGTATGTAAAAACGGTTCCTTTAAGTATCTGGTAGCATATACTTGCAACCTACACACAACAAACCAATATTGGGGAATTGCTGTGGTAACCATGGCTTTCAGCAGCACTCGGCCAATCACTGTCAGTTAGAATACTTTAGTACAAGCTTGGCCTTGACAGAACCAGGGCAGAGCAAGTTCCAGTCAACACTCCCAATCGGGTAGGGGTAGGGCTGGGGAGGGGTTTCAATAGTAAGAGTAAAATGTTGACCACATGATGCTGTCATCATCTCATTAGAAAGAACCCTGTGAGTCACTATTTGAGTCTTTGGGCTGAGAGCTGATTAGCTGAGTTAGAGTAGTTTCAGTTTAGATCAGTTTTCTGGATGAAAATCTGATCTAAGGATGTGACAGAGGCCAAAAATACATGCATGTGAAAAGAGTGCATGGTAGAGAAAAATTAATTATATTACAGGTATCAGCCCTTAACTTGAAGACATAGCAAGTAAACAAAATGGATCCACAGATCTCAGCTCGGCCTGTATTGAAAGCCAGTGCAGAAGGTTGGGTTTTCAGGGCGTTTTACAGGATTATTGGTAGATCCGGAGCTGAGGTGGAAGTCGTTCATCAGTCTTGTGTCTCTGCAGCGTCTGTGCTAATGCGCGACGTAATGACTTAAGCGGCGTTTTGGTCAAAGCCACCGAGATTTGTGAGGTGAGAGTGAGGCGGGAAAAGCCAACGGGAAAGAGTTGCAGCTAACACTCCATCCATCCCAACTGAGGCTGGAAACGTGAGGCTACTTAACCCTGCACTAAATAGGCAGGCAGCGTCACTATCTCGGTCTAAAATGGTCCAAACCCCCAATCATAAACAAACCATTCAAAATATACTAAACTTCATATTGTGTGTGAATGTCCAGGTGTTTTACACATCTGGACATCTCATAGAAGAGCTCTATAGCTGCTCGCCAAACCATATTTTTCGTTGACCATGAGTGGACACAACCAGCATTTGTTCAGTTGAACCTGACCAACAAGGGTGATTGATTTTGAATAACCTGTATGCTTTAGAAATCGTCCATCTTTTTGAATAAAGATGGTAATTAGGACAGAGTATGTATCCCAGTTCCCAGCCTCCCCCTTCGCCTCTGTGGGTTTGGGGTTCAGTCCGTAGGAGGACGGAGTGCTTCTGTGACAGTGTTTACGTTTCACTCTGACACCAGTCTCCTCACACAGCCACATCCCATCCACCACATCCACCACTGCCCCACGCATTCAAACAGAGTTGCTTCATTTACAACACAGACACGGCTTTAAACAAGACCCACGCATTTATCACTTAAGATGGAAGGCCGCTTATTATATTACATGGAGTTTAAGATGAACTGATGGACTCAACCTGCTCTCTATCCCTCACTGAATGGTGTATTTGTTTTCTCTGCAGATAAAGGTAACTAATAACAGGCAGGTGTATAACAGTCAGTGTGATAACGTCTGCAAAATGGCAACGGACCAATTCCACGTTCATATTCATTAGATATGTCTAATATTTGTTTTGTTTTATTTTTTTAACATTGAGACATTTTGACTCCCATCAAAATGTCAATTTCAGATTGGAGTTCAAATTACAAGAAGCATTTGTATTAATTATATTGTTGAGACGAGTACTTTCGAAAGTGGGATCCTCAGATGTTCTGTACAGACCTCATTTAGGCACAGTGGTTAGCACTTGTGATTCACAGCAAGAGGGTCCTGGACTCAATTCCACTTCTAGGCCTTGTGTGGTTCTTACATGTAACATGTACTGTACAGTACTGTACAGTACAGTCTCTGTAATGAGTGAGTGAACGGTTAATGATGCTGTTTGTGGCCCAGGAGCGAGGAGCTGCACACGTTTCTGCTCAGTGTGAGACAACAGTGTGCATACCTCACGGAGACCATTCAGGACGTGGTGAGCCGCTTCCCCCGCAGGGCCTCTCAGGTATTGCACCACACGCTCCTCAGTCAGTTACACAGCGCTAGTGATCATTTTGATCTTGTGATGAATGACATAGCCTCATTGTTTTCATTTTGTGAGGCAAAAGCATAGACTGTATAATAGGCGTGGACTGACAGTGTGACATTACCATACTTAAGTGCTTGCTTCGTGCTGGAGTGCTGCATGCGTTCCCATCGGATCATGTGTTGCGGTGAGTTTCAGACGTCGCTTAGACTGTTTCTAAAGCATGCGAATGAAGGCTTCTGACTCAAAATGGTGAGTGTGAATGGTTACTGAGCTAGAGGAGTTTACTTTTCAATGTAAGAATAGAATAGAACAGAATAGAAGTTGGAGCAAAACCTCTTCTTTGAGCCCTTCCCTATTGGGCTTCATTGAGCTAGGGGGGTTACCATTGAGAATTGGAGTTCATTTAAAATTGCTTTCATATTTACTATCACTGTTTCAAAATTTGAGTTCTAAATTAAGACCATTGAAAGCATCAATAGCCTCCATTTCCTCAGTGGGGCACATGTAGACTGGATCTTAAAGTGGTCAGACTGGGAACAACGCCTATTCATCTTTGTTTTTCCGTTTATGCATTGTAAATGTACTCGGGGATTTGTTTTTGTTCTCTGGCTCTTGCATGGATGTGTTATTGAAATTCTGGTGTTTGCACTCCTCTTTTTTGTCTCCTCAGTTGGTGTTTTCCCTGGACCCTAATGGTGAAGCTCAGGCAGTCTGTAATCAGCTCCTGATTCAGACCAAAGATCTGCAGCAGGAGGTTACTTTGCTCCGGAAGCTTCTCTGCCAGGTACATAGAAGATTCTGTTTCAGAGAATATCAATTTAACCAATGCCCATAAAAGTCCTGGATATCCCCTTTCCCGAGACCCTCTTACATCAGCAAGGAAAACTTAATGACTCATTGTGAAAAAAGAGAAACATTAGGGAGAGCAGGTCTGAGGTTGTTGCTTCAGGTCTGAGGCTGTAGATCCAGGTCTGAGGCTGTAGATCCAGGTCTGAGGCTGTAGATCCAGGTCTGAGGCTGTAGATCCAGGACTGGGGCTGTAGATCCAGGACTGGGGCTGTAGATCCAGGACTGGGGCTGTAGATTCAGGACTGGGGCTGTAGATCCAGGACTGTGTTCAAGTCTGTTAGACCCAATACAGGGATCAAGAGTTCCGAGCTTCCGGCTCGAACGCACGGCATTGTGGGTAGTATTCTCAAAAAGTGGGCATGAACTAACGCTCACCTATTAGATTACCTGTTGCGAGCGTGATCTGTCTCTCGTTTTTCCAGCCCATCGATTGTTTTAATCGATTAGAAGGTAAGGTAAAGATTTTTCATGTAACAAAAAAGCAATGCATTTATTTTCTTGTGGTTTAATTTTCACTTTATCTGTACACATGTGAAATCTCCGTGCTTAAGTGTTAGCCTGTCCATACAGCTTACAGTACTGCCTCTGAATGTCATCGTCATCACTGAGGTCACTCCTGATTACGTGCCCCAGGTATTTGGCCTTCTCTACATTCAGAAGCTCCACACCAGACAAATATGTCCAAAGTACAGCTTTGGGCAAGTTTATAAAGCTCTCGTGTAAGCATTCAATCCTCGTAAGTAGCTCTATAGTCAGTTGGCTGTTTTTACATCTAAAACCACAAGAAAATAAATGCATTGCTTTTTTGTTACATTCTAAATGTCTGAAATTGGTGATTTTTGTAGCGATTCAATCAATCGATGGGCTGGAAAAACGAGACGGATCACGCTTGCAACAGGTAATCTAATAGGAGAGCGTGAGTTCATGCCCACTTCTTTGAGAATACTACCCACAATGCCGTGCGGTCGAGCCGAAAGCTCGGAACTCTTGATCCCTGTATAGTCTCGTACAGTCACCATCAAAGCGGGGGGGTTAGAGTAAAGCTGAGTAGTAGGGCTGGTGGAAACGGGGCTTTAGTCTCATGAACGTGTCTCTCCTCTCTGCTGCTTGTACATACCTCTTCACATACTCTGCTTATGTGAGGGCACTTTCCCCACTACTCCTGCTTGGACATGTCCCTCACATTAAACATATGAACTCAACGCTCAGAAATGAGCTGTCAAAACGCACTCATTTTGTAGCATCGCCATTTGACACAACGCTGCACAGAGTATGGCAAAAATCAACATGTGATCGTCTGACGAGAAAATATACTGAAACGTAAACAGCAAAACCAGAAGAAGAATGTTTGAGGGGCTGCAGGCATCTGTACGTTAACAGAGATAGTTGTTTTTGGCTCCATCCACATGTTATCCAAATCCTCTGGCACAAAACCACCAGCTCTACTCTACTCAGCTCTACTCTACCTGGTTGCGTTTCCATTACTCTTTAGTATCTGGTACAGTATCCTAGCAAACTACTCGCAACAAACCAATATCTGGGGAAATTACTTGGTAAACATGGGCAATCACTGTCTTTCAGAACACCTTCCAAACCTTGTTATTACCACCTAATTTTTTGCTATTCCCCGCAATTTAGTAAAGACTATTTTTTATAATTGTTTGCCTTCAATTAGACTACGCCATGTTAAATTTAGATGCTAAATCTAGCAGCATAGGTTCTACGGTTTCTTAAGGAACATAAATAAATTGGTGCTGCAGGTTAAAGTGTTGATAATTGCGTTAAAACAAACCCATTTTAACTACATACTTTTAATCACACGGGGTAACAGTAGCTCAGTTGGTAGGGCATTGACCAAGGCCATGTCTTCGATGACAGAGAAGCCATCATCCTGGACCCACCACCTGTCAGAGGATCAGCGAGGGACATGTGCTTTGAGACTTGGGTGGCAGCACTGATTGAAAGGGACGTATGTGAATGACATGACATAACATTTTTAATCACGCACCTAACGCAAGCACAAAAGCACAGTAGCTGTTGCTGTCACTGTACAGTCGATGGAGAAGAGTAGAAGACAGTACAGGCCAGAGGACTGCTATGCAGCAAAGGAAGTCAGATGTACGTGTCCGTCCACACAGTTTCTGTCTCAGACACGAGACTTGAAAGAAAAATGCATTTTGACTGAAAGCCACAGCACTTAATGTGCCTTTTGGGTAGAATTCTGTGCCCTTTTTTGATCATTAAAATCTTTTCAAACTGGGAACTGTACTTCAGTGGATTCACCTAATTTTCCTTCTGCCGTCCCCATATAACTTTGTCTGTCTGCAGTGGCGCCGTGTGACCACTCGCGTCATCTGAGAATTGGGAAGTCCATTTCTCCGCAGTCACGTTCACTTTAGGTTTGTCTAAGGTGACTGCGTTTAGTCCAGGAAGTCCTCCGCTCGGATTTAACAGTTTTTAAAATATGAGACGTGTGTGTTGAAGCAGGAATAATCCCAGAGTTCAGGGCTCACCCACTGCCCTCTGCTTCTGCTGCTGTACAGGCATGTGATCTGAGCTTTAGCTGCTGATAACAATATCATAAAATATTCTCATATGCTATATTAGTTACCCTCATTTTGTCCCATTAAACTTGAACTTGCAAGTTTACAACTTTAACGTTTTAGAATGAGAAATCATGAGAAGCGTAAAGTATGTTTATTTTTATTATTAATAAAAATGCTATTAGTCCCTCCTAGTTCTATCCTGGCCAAGCTGGTACTACTGTGTTCTAACGCAGTGGTTCCCAAAGTGGGGGTCCCGACCCCCCGGGGGGTCGCGGGAACCCCTGGGGGGGGTCGCAAGATGATTTCCAAAAAAAAAAAAAAAACATTTTGCTAATTAATAGCCCTTAAATATTGATTTAGCATTTGATTTGATTCAAAAGGACTACTTGTTAAATTGTGTTAGGAGAATATAAAATATTTAAATTACGTTTGTAATTTTGTCCAGTCATTGACAGCGTCAATCAAAATCAAGTTACGCAGCTTACATCACGCAGCGACAAAGCGTGTCCAGCTGTTGTTTGCTAAAACTAAAGGTGTTTGGAGGCTTCAAACAAATAATACCTGCTTTAAAATGAAACGTGGTTAATATCCACAACAGAAAAACCCGGAGGGGGAGAAAAGTCACATGTGAGGTCAGGCTGATGGTGCGAAGAGAGGGAGAGAGGGCAGCGGAGGGAGAGAAGGCAGTGGAGGGAGAGAAGGCAGCGGTAGAAGAGGGTGATAAAGAGGCCCGGCTTTTCGGAGTCAGTGGTAAAGAGGTCCGCACATTAAAAGCGGGTGGCTGCTTTATGCTGTTGCTTACAGTAACTTTGGAAAAAGAAGCCGCGGGGATGAAGCGCATAAAGTAACAGCAGAAAGCGGCCGCCCGCTTTTTATGTGCGGACCTGTTTACCGCTGACTCCGAAAAGCCGGGCCACTTTACCGCGGTATGAGAACAGAGAGGGCGAGCCGCAAGAAATGCGCTCCACTTCTGCTGAGGAGGGAGCCCACCAAGCCCATCACTGTGTCACTACGTGAGTAAAAATACGCAAGCCTCCTTTTTTGGGCTGGACAGTGCAGCTCAGTAGTGGCGCGAGTCTCTGCGTTACTCCGTATCAAGGAAATACACGCTCATTGACGGGAAGGACTGTTGAGGTGGGGGGTCGCGGGGGAGCAGCGCATTTATGATGGGGGTCGCGGGCTAAAAACTTTGGGAACCCCTGTTCTAACGGATAGATTGGCCAAAGTGCTGCTGGAAGCCATGGTTACTAAGGATACTGGTTAGGTTGGCAGATACTTAAGCGTAATGGCTTTGGGACTTTATTAGACCTCCTGAAAATACACAACTTGACTTTGGACTTGGAGTGTATTTACCTTCTCTTTTTTTTCCTACACAAGTGGCAAATTCATACAGCTATGTGTGGCAATGAAATATGAAGAAGTTTAGAGTCTGTTGAAAAACAAAGCCATTTTCCCTATGTGCCTGCAGGAAATAAAATCTCTGTTTTCCCTTTGTGCTGTGTTCAGGTGGACCAGGCGGACGACTGCTCTGAGGTCCCGGTGTTTCCCTCTCGTCGCAGCTGGAGACGTGTACTGCAGGGGGCAGCACTGAGCGTAGTTGTAGCCGGAGTTGCACTGCTGGTAGCCACAAACTCGAACATGAGGGTTCAGCTGAACCAGTGGAGAGGCTGGTAACGGCAAACTATGATCCAGCTGCTGCGGATCTAACGCAGATTTTAGGTTCAAACAACTGAACATTAAAGCTGGGGCACCTGACTTTCAAACCACAAAAGATTAGCTCTATAATAAAATGTTACCAGTTTCTAAGAGATGCTTCTATCACTAGTTTTCACATACCTGTGTTTTGGCCTCTGTCACATCTCTACATTAGCTTTAGACAGAAAAGCAAACGGGAGAGAACCAACCTTACACATTAAATGTCAAATAGTGACTCACCAGGCTGAACATTTTTGTATTAAATTCAATGTATTGTAGCCTTAAATCACAAGATCAATCATTTTGGAGGACTTTGCGATTCGCCAACAACGGCAAAAGCCATTTGTCCATAAGGAGCGGCATGACCATTGTCATAAATGTCTCCAACCTTTGTCACCCAGAGAGCTTCTTTCCCAAAACAAATAAGGCAGCGGTCCTGGGGAAAAATGAGGGGATATGTTGGTGAGAACGAGTCTGATATTGGGGATCGTCATTATTTGTCATCACATATTCAAGTTTGAATTTACAATAATAAATTATAAATAAGGAAAAATAAAATCTGAAATATTCAGTATATCATTTGATTTGTTCATTACTAAATCCTTTGGCGAGCTACCTGGAAGGGGTGGCGAGCTACTGGTGGCCTGAGCTACAGGTTGGAGACGCCTGTGTGAGATTATCATTGTTCCCCTCCTGCATCTGAAAGGAACAATTGAGGCCCATATTGAGAGAAGGATCTTTTCCCACTGACGGATAGGCTGTAGATCCAGGACTGAGGCTGTAGATTCAGGACTGAGGACGCTCCCTGGTGGGGAGGGGGGAGCAGCCCATAAGTCCGGGCCAGGGTAGACCAGTCCACAGGGGCAGATAAGACGCCAGATTCATCTCTCCATGAATACAGCATGTTGTGACTTGATTTGTTCACAACATTTTAGTTTTTCAAGACTCTTTCTGTCGTGACGCCAAATAATCCCAAATATTTTTACATTTGCCACCGCTCAGCAGATTTTGTTTCCCTGTTGAGCAAAAATGCATGTACCACACTGCTATTATTGTTGAATAATCTGCTTATCACGGAAAACAAGAACAAGTATAATGTTGTGAACACATCATGTTGTCTTCATCTTTTTAGAAAACTTGTTATCGTTGTGTTAGAGCTCTGCCCGACGCAATATGACGCTTTGCTCTGATTGGCTGATTGAGGCTTTTAGATCAGCTTTTAGAGACAGGAAAGTGACAAATATGTGACAGAGGCCAAAAAATACATGAAAACTAGTGATGAAAATAGTTTTGAGAGAAAGGAGCTAGTGACATAGATTAAGTTGAATTGAAAATTATCTGTTTTAAAAGTTAAGTACCCCAGCTTTAATACAAAGAGTTTAAAAACTGTTCAAACAATGTTGTTCTTGGGAATTTAATTTAAAAGCATTGCATATATTTGAGTGTAAAAATTGCCCACCTCTAACCAAAGACCCACGTATTTATGTTCAAGGTCAAGACAATTTCTTATAGATTCGGAAGAGTTTTTTTGTATGTGTGTTTGTTTTAACCGAGACAAATTTTTCTGAAAAATGTCCAGAGACGAGTTAAAATTGCGTCTTTCAAAACTGGTCAAATGTAAACTTCAGTGTGGGATTGCTTGAATAAATAGTAAAAAAGGTTTTCCTCTCCCTCAAACTCTCTCTCGTTTTCTAGAATTTTTGTGGATGTTTTTGCCCCGTTCGGTCCATGGGAAACTCTGGTTTAATCTGGTGCTCTGGCCTCACGGATCAGATCAAAGATGGAGGAAACTGGGAATGACAAGAGCTTTCACGAATCTTCAACTTAGAGATTATCCCACTGAAAAGCACAGTCCAACACTCCTCATCATACTGAGGAATGCTCCGCCGTATTCTTACTGGTTTCATTTTTATACCAAGTAGAACAGTGTTTGAAATTAGATGATTCAATATGGCGTCACAATTTCCTGAGACAAAAAGGAAAGTTTATTTAAGAAAAGAAGCATTAAATTCTCACAAGGCATTACAATCATAAATGATCACAGTACATTGAAAATACACTCCTTCAGTTGTATGCACTGAGCTTGCCTCACATTTTCAGGAAGACTGTTCAAGAATTTTGCTTCATAAATCTGAAACGCTGCCTCCCATGTTTAGTCCTGACTGGGCACCAGCAGGAAGCCTGTCCCTGATATCTCCTTCCCTTCAGAAGTTGTGATTTCAGGTGGTTAGAAAAGTGTATAATGGGGTTTTACTGCCTTAAAACATAGAGCTGCTACTTCTCTAAGTTGAATTGCAGAAATTAATGAACTTAATGAACCCTAACCCTAACTTGAAGTTGAGGAAATTCAATTGAAGTTGCAAACATCGCCTTTCACAACAGTAACTTCTTGTTCCGTGGCTTTGCTGGTGAGCAGGTACACACAGAAAAAAGATTTGGAACCACTGGGTTATTGTGAGGAGGCAATGACAGCAGGCCTCACACACAGGACCCGCCTTGAGCTCTTCAGAACAGACAGTAAACCCGGCTGGATCCTCCTCCCTCTGCTCTTAACTGCCTGCACGACTCCTCCACAGCTCCACATGTCTCTAAAATGCCCCGCGCGCCGCTCTTCCCTCTCCCCCAAACGCTCCACTCTCCTCCGGCCGCTCCGAGTGCTCTGCCCCCCTGGGGATATGTCAACTTAAAAATATGAACTTGTGTGGATTGTGTTTGCTGCTGTCTGCGCAAATGTGCTGGGTCACAGTCAAAGTGGAGGCATCTTGGTGGTGAGTGATTTTAGACTACTATTACTTCTACTTCTGAGCTCTGACTACTAATACTACTGATACTGCTAAGTAACCAATACTACTACACCTTCTACTACTAAGGCTAAAATTACTGCTATTACTGACACTGTTACTACTATTTCTGCTGCTGCTGATACTACTATATTAACACTACTGGTCTAGTTAGATGACATATTTTTTATTTATTGTGGTTTAAAAGTACCCAGCTTCAAATTAAAAAAGACCATTCAGTTCTGTAAACTGATAAAATATCAGTTACATTTTTCAAATTGGCTTGTGGCAAACTTTAAACAAGACTTTTTATGGATATCTTTGAGAAATGGCCACTCTTCCATAAAGGCCAGATTTGTGCAGTGCACGATGATTGTTATCCTATGGACAGACTCTCCCACCTCAGCTGTAGTTATCTGCAGTTCATCCAGAGTGATCATGGGCCTCTTGGCTGCATCTCTGATCAGTCTTCTCCTTGTTTGAGATGAAAGTTTGGAGGGACGGCCGGGTCTTGGTAGATTTGCAATGGTCTGATACGCCTTCCATTTCAATATAATATATTATATTAAAATATTTCAATATTTTGTTAAGTCCTCTGAGATGACTTCTGTTGTGACCTAGGGCTATACAAGAATAAATTGTATTGTAAAATAAATTGTAATTGTATTGCACAGTGCTCCTTGAGATGTTTAAAGCTTGGGAAATCTTTTTGTATCCAAATCCGGCTTTAAACTTCTCCACAACAGTATCTCGGACCTGCCTGGTGTGTCTTTGTCTTCATGGTTCTCTGCGCTTTAAACAGAACCCTGAGACTATCAAAGAGCAGGTGCATTTATACGTTGACTTGATTACACACAGGTGCATTCTATTTATCATCATCAGTCATTTATGACAACATTGGATCATTCAAAGATCCTCACTGAACTTCTGGAGTGAGTTTGCTGCACTGAAAGTAAAGGGGCCGAATAATATTGCATGCCCACTTATCCAATAAATGTCGTTCCATTTCACAGTATGTTTGATGCTATCTATATTTAAATTGTAATGAAATTGTATGGGGTTTGGCTCTAATAAGTGTCTCACTTCATCCAAAACCCTTTCAGTCATTTATTTGTTTTTTTCTTTTAATCTTTTGTTGACTATTGTAGTCTGAATGAAGAGACAGAAAAAATAAACTAACTAACTGCTGCATTAATACATAAAGCTGTTTCCAATAACTGTTATGAGTACATTAGCCAAAGGGACAGTCCATACTTCAAAATAACTACTCTTTGCCCTAAACTTTTAACTTAAATATCAATTACTAGTAGTGTTTATTTATCCCTTGTGCTATCCTCGGGTCAAATTGACCCGCCACAATGATTGAAAATACCCGCACTTTTATTCACTGGCGGGTCATTTTGACCCAAGGGTAGCACATGGGTTAGAGCTGGGGTACCTAGCTTTCAAACCTCTAAAATTATAACCATGTCATAAAAATCCATGTCACTAGTACCTAGCTCTAAAACAGTTTGCTTCTATCACTAGTTTTCATGTATTTCTGGCCTCTGTCACAGCTGTTAAATTGGCTTTTTCAGTGGAAAAGAAAGGACCACCCTCACTCAATCAGCTCCGAGCCCAAAGAGTCATAGTGGCTCACACATGGATCTATTATAATAACGGGGTCACACCACTCTTTCTTAAGCTACAGATACCATGTTTTAAGATGAAGACAGCATGTCTTTCTATTGGGCACCAGCTTTAATATTGTACAAAAGTTAATTATAGTTTTCAACAAAATGTGACTAGGCCAAGTCTTCTTATGTAAACACATGCACATCTAAAACCAATAGTGTTATTTATTGCTGTGGTTAAAAGTTAGTTCCTCTAAATTCATTTTAAGAACCAGATCGTGGAACATGTTTTTTCTTTAGTGAGCTGCACACAAGTATTTTTGGGGATTAGTAATGGCGTCTGGGAGAAAACAGAAGAGATCCTAAGGGCAGTTGTTGGTGTCCAGTGTCTGGCTCAAAGGCACAACTGCAGTGAAAACAAGAGACACTCAATCGCTTCCCTGAAACTACTCCGTATCAAATGTAATGCTCCTCATGTAATAGTGGCTGCAGCAATAAAAGCAGCAGCCGTGGTGGTGGTAGTAGTAGTAGTAGTAGTAGTATGAATGAGAATTATTACAGACCAAAGGCCTGAAGGCTCAGTGTTGTCGACTATTTAATTTAACTTAATGATACTTATGGTAACTTAATAATGATACTTACAGTGACTTGCGAAAGTATTCGGCCCCCTTGAACCTTTCAACATGTCGCCACATTTCAGGCTTCAAACATAATTTTTTGTCATGAATCAACAAGTGGGACACAATCGTGAAGTGGAACAAAATTTATTGGATAATTTAAACTTTTTTAACAAGTAAAAAACTGAAAAGTGGGGCGTGCAATAGTATTCGGCCCCTTTACTTTCAGTGCAGCAAACTCACTCCAGAAGTTCAATGAGGACCTTTGAATGATCCAATGTTGTCCTAAATGACTGATGATGATAAATAGAATGCACCTGTGTGTAATAAAGTCTCTGTATAAATGCACCTGCTCTTTGATAGTCTCAGGGTCTTAAAGCGCAGAGAGAACCATGAAGACAAAGGAACACACCAGGCAGGTCCGAGATACTGTTGTGGAGAAGTTTAAAGCCGGATTTGGATACAAAAAGATTTCCCAAGCTTTAAACATCTCAAGGAGCATTGTGCAAGCAAATATATTGAAATGGAAGGAGTATCGGACCACTGCAAATCTACCAAGACCCGGCCGTCCCTCCAAACTTTCATCTCAAACAAGGAGAAGACTGATCAGAGATGCAGCCAAGAGGCCCATGATCACTCTGGATGAACTGCAGATAACTACAGCTGAGGTGGAAGAGTCTGTCCATAGGACAACAATCAGTCGTGCACTGCACAAATCTGGCCTTTATGGAAGAGTGGCAAGAAGAAAGCCATTTCTCAAAGATATCCATAAAAAGTCTCGTTTAAAGTTTGCCACAAGTCACCTGGGAGACACACCAAACATGTGGAAGAAGGTACTCTGGTCAGATGAAACCAAAATCAAACTTTTTGGCCACAATGCAAAAGATATGTTTGGCGTAAAAGCAACACAGCTCATCACCCTGAACACACCATCCCACTGTCAAACATGGAGGTGGCAGCATCATGGTTTGGGCCTGCTTTTCTTCAGCAGGGACAGGGAAGATGGCTAAAATTGATGGGAAGATGGATGGAGCCAAATACAGGACCATTCTGGAAGAAAACCTGTTGGAGTCTGCAAAAGACCTGAAACTAGGACGGAGATTTATCTTCCAACAGGACAATGATCCAAAACATAAAGCCAAATCTACAATGGAATGGTTCACAAATCGACGTATCCAGGTGTTAGAATGCCCAAGTCAAAGTCCAGACCAGAATCCAATCGAGAATCTGTGGAAAGAGCTGAAGACTGCTGTTCACAAACGCTCTCCATCCAACCTCACTGAGCTCGAGCTGTTTTGCAAGGAAGAATGGGCAAGAATTCCAGTCTCTCGATGTGCAAAAACTGATAGAGACATACCCCAAGCGACTTGCAGCTGTAATTGCAGCAAAAGGTGGCGCTACAAAGTATTAGCGCAAGGGGGCCGAATAATATTGCACGCCCCACTGTTCAGTCTATTTGTTAAAAAAGTTTAAATTATCCAATAAATTGCGTTCCACTTCACGATTGTGTCCCACTTGTTGATTCTTGACAAAAAAATAAATGTTTATATCTTTATGTTTGAAACCTGAAATGTGGCGAAATGTTGAAAGGTTCAAGGGGGCCGAATACTTTCGCAAGGCACTGTATGTTAACAATGTTTTTGGATGTAGCATAATAATGTTTGTGTGTTCAGGGTTCAATATTTATGGTAATATTAATGTTGTGGTTGTCTATGGGGGCCGCACTGACACCTTGATGTCCACTAGGGGCAACAAAATTATTTTAGTGTTTGCAATTACTAACGACAATAATAATGCATGAGTTTTCTATGGCGCTTTTTAGACACTGCCATCATTATTTGCTTCTACTCATTAATTCATGTTAATAATGACTTAATGAATGCCATTATTATTATTCACTGCATGCTCAGTGTTGAACTACTACTGTAGCCACAGCTGCCCTGGGGCACATTGAGGCAACCAGTATGTGACATTAGCCCACCACCAACCATTCACACACACTAGACTCATTCTAATGTGGGTGAAGTGTCTTGCCTCAGGACACAATGACAGCTTGGCACTTTACAGCCGCTGCCCCACTAGCAGCTGGTGTACTCATAGATCTGTCGGCATATGGCTCATACATTATACACTATTCATTTGTGTCATTTTGGGGAGCTACTGCATGTGAGTTCTCCAACCTGTAGCCCTGGAACAGGCACACTGACCTGGCATACTGAAAATGGATGCCAGGTCAGTGTTTCTTTGACTGAATTAGATTTTCACTCAGACTCAATTGAAGCAGCACATTTAAGTGGGACATTTTACTTCAGCTTGCGGAGTTTTATCCAGTGACAATAAATCAAAGATTAAAAATGTTATTTTTATAAAGTCCTATGTTTACATACATGGGCACAATTTACAGGGATCTCTGCTACCACTTTTCCTCTCTCCCCCTCTTGTCTCTTTCTACTCCCCTCTACTCTCCTCTCTCCCTTCTTTCCTTCCTCTCTCATTCTCTTCTCGGCTCTCCTCGCCTCTCTTCTCTCCCCTCAGGTTCATGGGCTCCCTGGGCTCTCGGCTTGTTTGTGACCATGTCCCTGGCTTGGTGAGCCGGCAGAGGCAGATGTGCAGACAGTTCCCCTCCGTGATGAAGGTGATCGGGGACGGAGTGAGTGACTGGATCCAGGAGTGTCAGCACCAGTTCAGGACGCAGCGCTGGAACTGCAACACCACGAGTGACCACAGCCTGTTTGGACGCCTACTGCTGCGCGGTGAGCAACACAACAGGATCGGACTAACTTTGTCATTTCATGTTTTAGAACGTGAAATATATTTAAATTAAAGTAGAAAATATATGGTGAAACAAGTATGAAGGGTATAAAAAGGTTTACGCCTGTAACTCTCTATGCTACCACCAGAGGGAGAACTACATACTCGTGTAATAGTATGTTGTCATTGTATCACCGTAACACAAGCTTTTTGAAAGAAATTGCAGTTACCGTTATTTCCAAAGCCACCAGGCTTCTCTTGTCTATTTTCTTTAAACCCAGCGGCTTATATAGCAATGTGGCTAGAATATGTATGTAGAGTTTATGGACTTATTTTGACTTTATCAAGTTTTAGTAGCTAGTAACACTAATTTATTGTCAAATTGAGGAAGGTGAATGAGTCAAGGAAGTTGATGGTTAAGCTGTTAAACCCCTCATCATTACATCATATAGGCCATTTAAAACAGATCACCTTCATTGGCCATCCGCCCCTGATAGACCAATGGCTCTGTGTTTTTTATCATTGAATTTCCTGTAATGCAGCACATTGTGACTTTTACAAAATCGATAACTTGGTTAAAAAAAAAAAATACATTAAATTGAATCCCACAGGTTCTCGTGAGGTGGCCTTCATCCACTCCATATCGTCCGCTGGAGTGGTGCATGCAGTGGCCCGTGCCTGCAGCCAGGGGGAGCTGGACTCGTGCTCCTGTGACCCTGGAAAGACGGGCCAGTCCCGGGACGAGAGTGGGGTCTTCGACTGGGGTGGCTGCTCGGACCACGTGGACCACGCCGTGCGGTTCAGCCAGATGTTTGTGGACGCGAGAGAGCGGAGAGAGAGAGATGCCAGGGCCTTCATGAACCTGCACAACAACCGGGCCGGACGCAAGGTCAGAAAGGGGCTGTGATTGTGAAAAAGATGTGTCCCTGTACATCACAAAATATTAAATATGTGAGGAAGTGATGTAAACCTCCATCCATCCATCTTCTTCCCCATAATCTATTTCTGGGTCGGCGGGTGGCAGTCAGAGCTGCACCCAGTATACAAAGCACCAGCCCCTCCCTGATCCTCCTGCAGGTGGTGAGTCCACAGAAGGATGGCTGCTCTGTCAGTGACAGCACAGCCTTGATCTTTCAGCAGGGGCTAATGTAAATCTAAACATTTTAATTGGTTTAGAGGAATTTAAGGTTATGTTTGTGTTTTACAGCCCATTGCTTATGTCCATTATAATGTGATTCCCTCTGCTCTCGCCATGGTCTCTCCCTGGTCTCTCTCTGGTCTCTCTGGTGCCTCTCTGGTCTCACACGCTTGTCTCTCACATGTCCCCCTCAGATCTCTCTCTGGTCTTTCTCTCTCTGTTCTCTCTGATGTCTCTCTCTGGTCTCTCTCTGCTTTTGTTATGAGCCCACTTGCTCTGTAACCTGTATCCCTTACAAGTCAGGTCTGTGTGCAGGCGGTGCGGCGCTTCCTCTCGCTGCAGTGCAAGTGTCACGGTGTGAGCGGCTCCTGTTCCCTGAGGACCTGCTGGCTCTCGCTGTCAGACTTCAGACGGACCGGAGATCACCTCATGAGGGGGTACAGGCGCGCGGTGCAGCTGTCCATCAACCACTACGACTCCATGGGGTTCACCACTGGCCAGGGCCGAGCCAGGGGCCAGGCTCAAGCCAGGGGCCAGGCCCGAGCCAGGCCCCGAAAACATGACCTGGTTTATCTGGAGGAGAGTCCGGACTACTGCGTTCGGGACACACAGACTGGTGAATATACGCTACTAATGCTGCTGCTGCTACTGGTGCTGCGACAACTACCACTACTACTACTACTATCCATCACTTGATTGATTGATAATACTTGGCCAAAAGATTGTATCACCATATGAGAAGAAAATATCACAATAACGATATAATTTACCACATGAATAGCGCTGTGAAAAATCTTCAAAAATGTACTGTAAGAGTATACAAAAATAACTATGTTTTGAGAGTGATAAGATTGATTATTTTCAGTCTATCTCTAGTTTTTTTGGCTTCTGTTACATCACATTTTCAGACGGAAACGTGAAAAACAGAGGATCACCACTCTCTGTTGCATGCAGCATATTGTGGTGTGATTTGTTCATCAAATGTTGGTTTTATAAAACTCTTTCTGTTGGGACAAACAAATGTGTTTATGAAACGAATAAAAATCAAGGTACTCAAGCTTTAATGCCGCAGCTGTCGTCATTAACCTGACTGTTGCCTGTTTGCTGTAGACGGGGCTTGCATCTTGTGTGTGAAGTATGTTTTCCTTTCACCTTTCTCTCTGCTCCATCTCTTCTCTCTTTCTGGTCTTTCTCTCTCATGTTTGACTCTGGTGTTTCTCTGGTTTCTCTCTCTGGTCTCTCTCTGGTCCTGGGTGCACGGCGCTGTAACTTTAGAATATCCATTTTAAAAGCAGACACGAGTCCAAACAACATGCCGACCATTCCCACTGTCATTCTAGGTCAACTCCATTCGGTCCTGGGTGTGATTACCGGGTCTACAGTGTGAAACGCAGTTACACAGATGGCATTGCTCCCCTATTGGGTCGTCCTATGATTTAGTTTTAGATCAGTTTTTCTAAAGCACTAATTATATAATGAACACTAAACCTCTGACAGAAGCTCGTCTTGAATCAGTTTTCTGCATCTAATTGGTTGCTGCGGTAACGTTGAGACCTCTTTAGATCAGGGTTGATCTCGTCTGTCGTCAGTCGCTCATCTGTCCACATACCTCAGCCACAGGCCCAGACTAAGTGAGCAGAGACAACACGGCATTCCACACGCTTCTGTCTGCAGCTAACACCAGAACGTCATCAAGGGGCGTTTCCATAACGTGTGTCGACCCGGGACAGCAGTGGGAAAGGTCTGTGGTTTTTTTGGACCTGTGTCTGCTTTTCACGGCGAGAAAACAGGAATGTGTCAAAATAATAATTTGTCCAAACAAACCTGGGGCCGGAGAGAATTTTTATTTTTGAACTATTTATTGGTGAAAAATATTATTTTAAATTAAAGTAAAGAGCAGCGTGTGCAACAGCCCAAACTCTGACAATGAGAGCTTCACTCACCAAAACACGGCTCCTCTGCTCGTTAAGCTGTTATTATGCAGAATATGGCCCCCGTTGTTTTAGAAGCATCTTCACTTCATGTGAGCAACAACCTAGAAACCAGTTTGGTTTCACAGCTGTATACATTCCTGCTATATTTGCAAAAAGATGCCAAGTCGTTCCGTGTCGCTTGGTGTGAAAGGAAGCGGCCCGTTTGTTTTTACTAGTTACAAATTAGACTTTACTCTATTTGGTATTAAATCTGTGAGTAACCGTAAAACCGGTCTGACTCCTCTGGTCCCAGTCTACATGGAAGTGGCTTATATGTTCCCAAATACATACATTTTTATCACTTTTCCCTGCGCTCTTAAATGCATCTGCTGGCCCTGTCTCAGTTGTAACCGGTTTCCTTGGTTACATGCAGCGGTTGCAAAAAGAGCATTTTGATCCAGTCTCTTCACACGGACTGGGAGAGGAACCCGGTTTTCACAAGTGGTGTATAAACGTACAGACCTCACGCAGTTGAACCGGACACTCTGAACTCTCAAGGTCAACTTTTCAGACGCTGATGGATTGAGGGCAGACGAATGGAACGTGGTCCGATGCCAGAAGATCCAGACTATAGTTACTCGAGAAGGGAAGAACGTGGCTGTAAAAGAGGCTGGTTTGTCATTTATCAAAGCTGTGGACCCTTATCTTTGTTTCATAAATAATACATGCTGTTTGTCTCAACAGAAAGTCTTGTAAAAGTAAAATAACGGGAACAAGTCAGACCACAACATGCGATCCTCATATTATTAGACAATGTTATAGATCGTGAAAAAGAATAGCCCCGTGAGTCACTTTTTTGACTCTCTCAGCTGAGAGCTGATTGGCTGACTGAAGGTGGTTCTCTTTCATTTTTCTGTCTCAAAAAGTTGATCTAACAATGTGACATAGGCCAGAAATACATGAAAACTAGTGATATAACCAGGAACCAAGATTATATTACTGGTACATAGTTTTTGCGGTTTGAAAGTTGCGTACCTCAGCTTTATTCATTGTGTTGTGTTGAAAGAGTGAGGAGAATTCTGAATGTAGCTCATTATCAACTGTCACATGTCAAACATATGCGGATCCTATTCACCTGCTGCTTCTACTGTAACTAATACTACAACTACTACTACTTCTACTATAACATAAGGCTGTAATCAAAGTATCAATATGCTCCATTTTAAACATAATTTCAACTGAAAGTGTGCTCTTCACTACATTTACACGTCTTTCTCTCATATTTGCTTCTCTGTCAGTCTAATAGCTGGGTTAATTCTTACTCTTGTTCACAGGATCCCTCGGCACCACGGGGCGTGAGTGTAACCGGACGTCCCGTGGCGTGGAGGGCTGTGATGTCATGTGCTGTGGGCGGGGCTATGACACGGCGCGAATTCAACTCCGCTCCAAGTGCGAGTGCAAGTTCCACTGGTGCTGCTCCGTGCTGTGCCAGGACTGTGAGCGGCTGGAGGACCGGCACGTGTGCAAGGGCCACACGTGACACGCCGAAAACACGGAAGAAACGCACACGTACGAAGGGTTTACAAACATTACAACACAACAGCTGCCTTCATGTTGGAGAATTGTGTGTCAGTATTTCAGCAGGTGCAGAGATACCTTTTGGAAAGAATATTGAGACCAGAGACTATAGTTGATATAAGCTGACAGAGATGTGGAACTTTGTGACCGTTTTTTTTTTCTCATGTGGATCATTCCAGGAATGAGAAATTAGCTTCACACCAAGACATATGACTTCTGACAGTTACCATAGTTACCAGGAAAGATGTTTCAGCTGCTCTCCACTACAATATGAAACTAGTCTCTTTGGAATGTGCTGATATCACATAAACACAACCTAGAAAATCTAGTTCCTGGCTCTCAGAACAGTCACTAGTTTTCACATACATGTATCTGTATGTTTGACCTCTGTTGCATCTTTAGATCACCTTTTTCAGACACAGAAGTGAAAAACAGAGGGCCAATCAGGGCTCATCCCAAAGAGTCGAATAGTGACTCACAGGACTCTGTCTTGCACAAAACAGAACATGTTTTCTGATTAGATGAAGACATGTACAAATCGGACCACATCATTCGGTCTTCATCTAGTGATAGAAGCCCATTTGCTGGCTCTAAATACGGGATACGTAACTTTCAAACCACAACAGTATAATGAAAACCATGTCTTGAAGTGTCAGCAGATGGACATTTTGGCACACTTGGGCAATTGACAAATCAGTGATGTTAGAGGTGACAGGATTTTGACTAGTTTGGGGGATGGAAAGGGAACAGTGGCTCAAAAATCACTTGTTTGGTATTCTGACTTTGGAACAGCAGCAGAACGTCGCTGGAGTCTGGTCAATTGTAAATAGTGTAAGAGTTTTAAAATATTAAAATTCTTTTAACTTAAGTCTTTGCCGTAATTTAACATTTTAAGTGAGATTTGCATAATAATGGTCTAGTTTGTTTTTGAGGGCAGCAAAAGCTTATTGCCTCTGTAATATTTCGATCTACAGAAGTACAAATAATGTAAAAGTCTTAAAATATTCTTTAACCTAAGCATCCATTATTGTAGTTTTCAGTCATTTATTAGTTTTTCAAACCACTTTTCTCAAATTATATTATTTTAACCAAAAATTTATTTAGAACAAAAGTATTTTCTTCAGAGCAGAAAACGTCCTAATTCCACCCTAGAGTTGCTCATCCGGCTCACTAGTCCTCTCAAACCCTTTAAGCCAATGGGACACGTTTGAATAATGCTAATCCAGTTTTCTCCCTGAAACCAGGAGCTTCACAGAAGAAAACTCAGGACCATTGTAAATGCAGCGATACACAAAAGTCCTTTATTGTGTTTTTTTGACGTAATTTTTATACAAACTCCAGCAGCAAATGACTCAAAATTCAAGTCCCCAAGATCATCCGCTAAGTCCAGACGCTGGGTCCTGGCCGGGGTTTTTGGTTCCTTTAATGCTTATTTGAACACAACATAATTTGGAGAGACTGGACCTGGACGTTGTCAGGAAGTGTTTTCCGGATGAGTCCTGTTCAAGTTTGGTCCAGTTTTAGACTCGTTCACATCAGCAGCGGCGGTCCTTGTGATGTCACATCTGCATGAAGGACCAGGGATCACTCGTTCTATTTCACTTTGCTTATGAATGAATCACTACAGCAGTAAGCAATAGGAAATCTCACAATCCAGTTGCATTCACCGGGGTCCCAGCTCCAAAATTACAATAATTTTGTGACTTTCGCCCTGCCACTGTCATTTTCATGTAGCTCAAAACACATTTTAAAACTTATTTGTTAACCACCATGGTGTTACTTTCAGCTCTTGTGTTTCACCTTTCGCATGTTTCAAAGTATTTTCCGAAGAGTGTGTAGACCAAGCCTCTGGTCTCATGTCTGTCCCAATCAATTCTCCCGGTCTAGTGCAGAGCATCGTTGTGGAAGGGTTGAACCCTTGTGCTATCCTTAGGCATCAAAATAACCCACCACAGTGATTAAAAATACCCTAAATTAGGGTCTAAATGACAGACCCAAGTAAGCGAAAAACTAAATTCTGCTTTAAAGACATAATTGAGGGTATTTTTAAATAATTGGCGGATCAATTTGACCCGAGAATAGCAGAAGAGGGAATACCCAATCCCCATGATACAACCATTCATTTTTAGCTGCTAGCATTGAGACAAAACAGATAATGAGCACTTTGTTGGACATGTTTACATATTACAGGTTCACATCCGTCTGAACAACTCGTCTGCCCCTTTGAGGTAAAATCAATTGAAGAAATGCCCATAAGGAAATTGGCTCCAGCTAGCTTATGTTCAAAATCAGCTTCTTCCGTATTAAGGCTAACACTGACGTCAGCACTGAGTCCACTCATTAGACAGTCTGGGGACTAGTCAGTATTTTGTCCCAATGCTAAAAGAAAAATTGTGTTCTAGGATTTATTCATTTAAAATTGGTCAACATTTTTCTAAAAGATTTAACGTAATGCTGCAAGTCTAGCGACCCCCAATGAGTTATGAGCAAACTGCGAGAGTTTATACTTTATTTGCGATAAACCGTGGGAATAAACTGGTTTCACCTTTACCAATACTTTTAGGTAAATATTAACATTTGAAAGGTGAAAGACTTTGAATAAATCCACATTTGATTCATTCATGCAGCGATAGTGATGTTTTATTTGTCAGGTCCATGGAACAGTGCGAGAGACTGACAACATCCTGGTTTTGGGCTGAGATTTATCATTTCTTGTTCTAATTTTGTGTTGGAAATAACCAATTATTCCCGGCAGGTTCTGGTCTCGTTTAGTCCAGTTGAAGTGGACTTGGATGCGTTCTCCCTGGTCTACTTTCCTCCGCAGCTCACTGCATTTGACCCAGATCTGCGACATCACAGGGACCAGACTAAACCCTTTAGTCTTGGTTCAGTCCCTGGTCTGCGAGAGCTGGTCTGGTGGGCAGTCCAGATCTGGTTCTAAAAAAGGCGGGTTCTTGAGATAGTCCTGGTTCAGTCCTGGTTCTGGCCTCAGATGCGTGTGAGCTGGTGCCACAGGCTGGAGGGTAGAATGCTCTCCACTTTCTCCATGATGAAGTTCAGAGGAGCGAACAGTGTGCTCAGGAACTACAGGAAGACAAGGAAACGTTAGAAACGCTTCAGCTCCAGTTCCATTGGCCCGTCCCTTTACTCACGGCTTTGGCGAAGACCCCCATGAGTTCTGGAAACTGGTGCGTGAGCAGAGCCAACATGGCGGTGAAGGAGCAGAGTCCGGCCGTGAATAGGATGAAGAAAGGCAGCTCCTTTTTGGGGTAAACGGACACCTCATGGAACACTGCTTCCACGGCAACACACACACCAGAGATAATGTTAGTGCCATTTATTTAACTAACACACACAGGCTTTTCCCACCACCGCCAACCATTCACTTCACCCACAACAGTTTGGCAATTTGTATTCCCAGAGGTCTCCCATCATTAGTACTAACTAACCAGGCCCTTGGTGTAAAAGGTCTGACATGATCCAACTGTCACCTGCAGGGGGCGCCAGTCCTCTTGCCCCCGCTCGCCCTCCCCCTCTCTTGCCCCCGCTCGCCCTCCCTCTCTCTTGCCCCCGCTCGCCCTCCCTCTCTCTCTCTTGCCGTTGTACTGGAAGTGGCCAGTGTTCGTGCTGGGGTCTTACTGGGTAACAGCTCGCGGTCTGCTGTCTCGGTGCAGATGGGGTAGGGGTAGAACAGGTGCCCCTTCTCCAGAGGGTACGGGATCATCCTGAACGCTGTGGACCAAACAGATCAAACTCATTCAAGTTATGCAGCAAAACTACCCACAATTCCTAAGGGTTTTTCACGTTTTTGTCTGAAAAAGCTGATCTAAAAATGTGAAAAAAATAATTATATTCGAGAGGAACTAGTGACATGGATTTTTACATTGTTTTTGTGGTTCGAAAGTCAGGGACCCAGGCTTTAAGGCAGCAGTGAGTGTGTACGCACTTCCTTCCCAGGTGCAGTGCAGTAGGTTCAGAGCTCCCTCCACTCTCTTCCAGTGCTGCAGGTGGAAGAAGGCATAGGCGATGGCCTCACTGTCCCCACGCTTCAGGATGTGCTCCGGGGGCAGGATCAGGCTCTTCATCTCCAACAAGTACTGAGGAGGAGGAGGTCAGAGAGGAGGAGGTCAGAGAGACAGTGACTGAGAGAGAGAGGAGGTCAGAAAGACACGGCCTGAGGAGGAGGTCAGAGAGCAATAAATACTGAGAAGGAGGAGGTCAAAGAGACCGAGGGGGAGGATTTTTGGTCGTAATGTTTGCTTTTTTGCTCAGTGGGAATAAAGCTGTAGCGGGACATTACCATTTCTGGACAGTGGTCATCCTGCTCCCTATGGATCAATGGCTTTTATGTGTTATTGCATTTCTCTGATCTATTGTTGGAAAACCCCAACTTTGTAAAGTCCAGGGAGACGAATGCTGTTATAATTTAGTGCAATGAACTGAATTTAGCAGGTTAAAAATCTTAGCCTCTTTCACTTCCCAGTCTCTCGCACGTTTACAGCTTCGCACAGGTGAAAGATGTTCTGCTTCTCTGGACTCACTTTGGGGACGTGTGGGTTGAACTCCACCGCTCTGTGAATGGCTTCTACTGCGTTCATCTCTGCTGTGCTCAGGCCTCGTCTGGATGCAGCCTCTGGAGAGAATCTGACACAACATATGTTTGAATGTAACACACTCACATGGACACACACACTGAAGTGCGGGTGAAACTGGAGTCTTACTTGTCAGAAACCGCCCGTGCCTTCAGCAGAGCCGCTGTGTAGCAGATCGTGGCTGACTTTGGTAAACTTATATCTGTCAAACACAAAAAGCTTGAGTTACACCTTTAAACACAGCCGGGTTTCATGGCTCCGGGGAGCTCCGCCTTCACCAGTGGAAATGTGAGATATTGGCTTCAGGTTTAGGCTCATAGTGTACATCTGGACTAATAGAAACATGTCATTTCTGCTTAGATTTTAAATCTGTCCAGGGACTAATAAAAAAATGGGCTTGTGGCTAATTCTGATACATTTTCAGTAATGTTTACGAATGTACACTGTCCCTGTTTAAACTGATAAATAAATACATGTGAAATACTGTAGTACTGTAGGCAAATGTCAGAAGTGAGTGACTAATCTTTTGGTTTGGTCCTGGGTTAGAGACAGTTTGGTAGAGATTAGACCATATTTGGGACTAGTCAAGGACAAGATTAGACATAATTGATCAAGCTGGCATTCCCTTCTCATTTAACAGATTACAATTTTGAGGTCTTACGAGATATTTGTAATCAAGATTTCACCAGAGAGGGACCAGAGTGTGAGGAAGACCAGTGATTGATAGAGTGACCAGAGACAAGAAAACTTGATCAATAGATACATTCACATGTTACATTTGGCTGTGTTGGTTAAAAAGTGAAAAAAAAAATACAGGGTATATTATGTTCGATTAAAATGGACTATGGCAGTGCAGAGTTTACAGTCCTAGTGCCGGTCATTATGAAGTGACTTATTGTAGTCTAGTATAGACATGTACCTCATTTTTAAAGCCCAGAATCAACAGAATATTTGATATTTTATCAATGATCAAAACAATTGTTAGTTATAGCCCTAAAATCATGAAACTATTGCTATTATAAGTCTCAGGATGAACAGGTGCAAGGATTAAGTTTTTACCGTCGTATTTGGCGAGCACAGCCTGGACGTCCGCATAGTTCTGCAGCTCCAGGAGAGACTCCAGCAGGTTCTCATGGATGTTGAACATGCTTAGGAGCGGGAACTCTTTCATTAACTGAAGACAAGAGCAAAGCATGGGTCAGACCACTAGGGGGCGACAACACTGCTGTTATTTCCACTATCACCTAATTGGTCAAAATAATGTTTGAGGAAAATACTGTGAGAAGATTGACTTTATTTTCTCTATTTTGATGATACCATCTTTAAGCAAAGACGTGAGCCTTCAACATCAGGACTTTCTCAAAGGCTTTAGTGCACTATTCTTTCAACTCAGTTGTTTGTTGTAGTCTTTCTTTAAAATAAATCCTACATAAAATCTGATTAGTCTGATTCCTTTCAATCCATAGATCTGATCTCTGGAGACCTGTAGTAGGTGGGGGAGTAGCAGCAGCAGCAGAAGTAGGGGTAGCAATAGCATTAGTAGATGGAGCAGTGGAAGTAGCAGTAGGGGTAATGGGAGTGAGAGCAGCAGCAGCAGTAGTAGTGTTTGTTTACTCACATCTCTCATCATTTTTACAGCTTCTCTGGTTCTTCCCAGCTTCCTCGAGCACATGGCCAAACGCCGCTTTACGTAAACGAGAACATTTGTGTCTCGCCCTGGAACAGAACACACATCGTCCATCACAAACGGTCAATCCTCCAAGCTCCAATACTGCATGTAGTTTATGAGTTTTAGAAGGAGACATATGCAAAATAGGGTTGTTTGAATCCATCCATGTCAATATCAGCAACTTCTGGCACAAATATGTAGCTCCGCCCCTTCTGTCTAAAAGATCCCGTCTCAGTCCTGTAACAGTACGATATCATTGTACCACTATGACAGAGTGGTACCAAAACTTGACCCATAAATAAAGTCAAGTTTTGGTCATTTCCCTGGTGGCGGAAACAAAAAGCATGTTTACCCTCACCAGATATTTTCTCTTGAAGATGTTTTTTCATACTCTATAAATGGGGCTATTTGTCATTTCAGGTTTTAAATGCCATAGGATGTGTGCGAGCAGGACAGGACCCCTCGGTTTCACTCACGGTGCTGAGCCTCGTACTGCGTGCTGTGGTGCTGTAGACTCTGGCTCCTCCTGTAGCACAGCTCTCCGGCCTTCAGCGCCTGTTTGAAGAGCCGCTCGGCCTCCATGATGGTCGTGGCCTCCTCCTCGGCCAGCAGGATGTAGGCCGTGGCACAGCTGCTCCACACCAGGCACAAAACACCAGAGGACATGAGAACAACAACACACACGCAGAAATACTTTGGCTACATCTGAATGCAGTAGAAACACCTCCGTCCTTTCCTTCCTCATGCTTTTGTGTGCTTTGAAAATCAACCTTCTATGACAGAGGGCAATTTAACATTCAGATTTTCAAGATATTTTTGGTGCTACTTTGGTCACATTTTATTCCACAAAGATCAAGAATGAGAAGGAAAATCTAGAAAGCCTCTGGTCTCTCTTCCCATACATTTGACATACTTGTGTACATTATTTAAATCTAGTGAGTATTATCTTTTTTCACACTTTATGAGCTTGTAGCCTTTTGATACTAGTAAGTCTTGTTAGGTCAAAAAGTATTTAACTTAAAAATGGTTACACACCAGATTCCACTGCAAGATTAAATTTAAGCACTTTGTATGCCTGCGGTGAATGAGTGTTTGTAGTAACAGCCGGTGTCCAGTGGAGGGAACTGCACTCACTCTTCCAGCTCCAGAGCTTCGTGAGCCGCTGTGATTCTGGCCTGAGGATTTCTCTCTCTCCACGCCTTCTGCATAACTGAGACACACACAGAGAGAGAGAGGTCAAACTACAGCAGAGACAAAATATAATACACAACAAAGCAAGGACAATCTCCATGTCCCTATGAGTGGAAAAGCATTTGAAGCATTTAAAACCTGGGTACCTCACTTTTTGTTTAATAAATAACACGTTTGTCCAACAGAAAGGGTACCTCACTTCTTTCTACTGAATATAGATGGACGATGCTAACCCGCAATCTCAATGAATTGCAATAAGCAAGTGTGCTCATGGACAAAGTTTTGCTCCAACTCGCTCTGGCTCCCCTTGACTTGCATTAAAAGTTAACCCTTCTAGCTTAGAAACCGTTTGTTAAACTCACAATTTTTGAGCTTTCTGTGACACTGGAGTTTATGTTGTCTTTGTAAATCCATAAGGATTGACCAATCAGATTCCTTCTTTTACTGGAAAAACTTGCCATAGCATTGACTGCCCATGCATGTCATGCACAGAGCTAACACCATGGAAGTAATAATGTAAGGAAATTGGCTCAAGCTAGCTATTTTCAAATTGGCCTCTGTTTTTGTCTTCATAATGTAAAAAAAGAAAAAAAAAGAGCTTCAAAAATGTACTCTTTCGGCTCCAAAAACACAGCAGTCTTATTTGTTGCGGTTTGAAAGGTAGGTACCCCAATTTAAGTCATTATGAGCTCTGTGTGGAGGTTCTTACTGGCGTCTGCCGGCCGGAGGTGATCCGAGTCGCAGGTGAAGAACGTCTGGTGATCCTGTGCCGACAGATTCATGTCGTAGTAGGTGAGAGGCTCGCGACCCGTCACCCACGTGTATCTGGGACCAGAGAGGTGGGGTTAAATACCAGGGGAGTCTCACCTTGAAGTGTTTTTTTTTCCAATTCCAAATGATATACTTTATATCTTAACTACAACACCACATTTGATTGATTGTTATAACTTCAAACCCTCTCAAAGCATTTATCCAATAATTTTGTATTTTTTCCCACTCATTCGTATAATGGAATAAACCTGTTAAATTTTTATTCTATTTTCATAAAAATTTAGTTATTTGATCACTTTTAAAAACATGAGAATGGGAAAAAGCATTAAATGCAACTTTTCAAATCCTGCAGCTCTTGTGTCAGACTCACCGGTTATACTCCGCTCCTCTGAACAAATTTAGTGGATTTCTCCAAACTTTACATTCTGTGAAAACAAAAAACATGTTACGCCAAAGTTTGAACTTTGAGATCAACATGACAGTTTTTGTCATTTAGTATCACGGATCCACAGCCTGTCCGTCAGTGGGAGCAGAGTGTCTTTGAGGGTCTAAGGACAGTGATGGCGTAATGAACATTTCTGGACAGTGGTCGTCCCGCTCCCTTATGTGTTTGTTATTATTGCATTTCCAACTGATTCTCTGATCTGTTGGCGAATCGACAACTTTGTAGTCCTCCGAGACTGCCGTTGTGATTTAGGGCTATACACAAATACATTGAATTTAAGTATTATCTAAAAAAGTTATCTAAGAAGAGATTTATAAATAATTAGTGGCATTTTTTCTAGTATAAAATTCCTATTGAAATTTAGTGAGGTTACTTACAATTCTCAACCACATTAAATCAATGTCTTGTTGAACATCCCCTAATCACAACAATAGTCGACTTCAAGGACTTCACAAAATTATAGTTTTGCAAAAAGCAGATTGGAAAAACAATAACTGTTTGCTTTTATCACTAGTTTCAACATGCATGCATGTTTGTCTTTTCTTTAGATCAGATTTTTCAGACAGAAAAGTGACAGAGTGGACCACCCTCACTCAGCCAATGAGCCCAAAGTGACTCAGTGTGCACCTTTTTTTCTTTTACACAAACACTGTGGTCCGATTTGTCCTTTCTGTTAGGACAAAGAAGACTAAAAACTACTATGAGAATAGATTGACCTGAATTTTGTCTCTAGATCCCATAATGCAAAGTAGATGTTCTTGTATCTCAGCTCACCCCCGTTCAATAGGGCCTTACTCCAACACTCAGCCACCAGCCTCATGGCCGCCGCCTCCTGCTCCTCGCTGACATTCTCAACTGGGATATGTGGGTTCTCCATCTAACCCTGTGTTTATGGCACCAGAGTGGAAATGTCTAAATAACTAAAATCGATGACTGATTTGCCTGAAACAGGGTTGAATGAAAAGCAAAAATGCTTCAGTCCATACACAACAAAGACAGGGTGGTTCAGCAGGTGTCTTGGCACCTCCTCCTTTGCAGCTGCTTCACCATTGACTGATTAGAAAAGCCTCTCGCTCTATTGGCCATTTGTCAATCACAGAATCCAGGGCCTCACACTTTCTAATTGATCTGGCCTTCATGTGTTCTGGTAAATCAGTCACTAAAGTCACAAATGACCTGCACTACGACTACAAAACCCGCACTGCTATAGTCACTTTTTATTGTAAATAATACATCCTGCACAAAAGAGACTATATTTTCAATCTTTAACATGTTTGCACACCTGTCTTTTTGCACAATCTGAGGGATAATATCCATGCCAAATGTGACAAGTAAATCTCCATTGTGAGATCAAGTTTCTTATCTTAATTTTTTTCAAAACACTTGCAGAGCACCTCTGCTGCTGTGACCTGAAGTGTTGTTGCTTATTATTATTACTATTGTTAGCTTTTTAGAAGAATCAATTTATTTGTTTTGTTTGTATGGATGGATGTGTTTTTTCTGCTACTGGACACCTGAATTGTTCCTACAGGGGATCAATGAAGTATCTATATCTACCGGTGTGTGTATGTGTGTATGTGTGTATGTGTATAATCTGTATATAAGAAGTGGGCTGACCGAGTGCTGAAGTCACCATATCTTTGATATAGAAGAATACATCTTAATATAGAATAGAAGATATAGAATTTGTAGCCAAACTTATTGCTGGTTTGCATCTGATGAAAGTCCTCCAAGGAAGTAAATCTCCCCATTAAGAACAATGTAAATATTCACTCATTCCGGGTCAAAATGCTCTTTTTCTGTGGCGTGTGCAGTTTTGGCAACTGCTCGTATCAAGTGGAGAACGTATGGAGTCTCTTATTTTGCAAAAAAAATTCTCTAACAGGTGAAAATGTGCGTTAGCATTAGCAATAGCTTGCGTAGCACCTGCCACAGACACCGCTGACAGTCCGCAGTCTTCACTTTGCTGACTTTCATAGATATAAAATAGTTTTCACTCAAAATAAGAGTGAAACTAAGCCGCAAAAAGCTCCTGTGTGTGTTTTCCCACATCACTCGTTCTAACTAATAGGACAAAATCACTTCCTGTCCGACGGCCCCCTTTTGGTCACATGTTTACAACCCCGCAATTTCTAAACCACAGATTTTTTTAAGCTCAAAATGACTAAAGCGGGACTAGGGCTCGGCGATATGGAGAAAAATTTATATTTTCTTTTTTTACATCTTGATATACAATATATATCTCAATATTTTTACAGGATAAATAACCCACAAAACTACTGCAAATACAAATACGCCAGTTACCAAAGTCTTTTTTTTAAACTGGATCTCAAAGTGGAATCAGTTCAAGACAAGCTTCTGTCACATTTGTTTTAACTTGAAATTCAAATGTGAATACAAAAATCGAGTGCAGCACGGAGAACAAAAACTTGCGAAAGTGAGATATAGCCAGTATCAATACTTGGAAATGCTAATCTTCAAAATCACTTTTGCGATTTTATCTCCTACGATAGTTATCAGTAACCGTTTGGGACAGGGACAACATGCCAACTCTACTCAGAAAAAGCCTGTTCCAACTGGGAGTCAAACCCAGGACCTTCTTGCTGAGAATCTGTATATATCGCCCAGCCCTTGTCACCAGTATGAAGTAGTAGTGGGAGCAGCAGTGAGACCTGAGACACTTTGACGACTGGAGTCCGTCTCTCCGTTGCTGCTGCTGCTGCTGCTGCTGCTGTTGTTGTTGGGGGTTGCAGTGTCCACTCCTCCCAGCAGAGGGCGTAGGTGGCTCACGGAGACCTGCTCGATGAAAGACGTGCCATACTTCCGGAAGTACCACCACTCAAAGATCTGGAAAGCCATAGTGAAGGTCACTTTTCAAACTGTAAAGCAGCTGTTGAGAGACTAAAAAAATTGGATAATCATTGGTTTAAACCATGAATGCATAATTAAGTGAAGGTTTTTGCTGCTTAAACTCATCTCCACATGGACAATTGGCCACCTGCGGTACTGCAGCCTAAATCCACACGGGCTGTAAAGTGAGTTCCCCATAGACCTTAGTGTTCACTACAACGGCTCATCCTTAGCTGACAGGAAACCTACGGCTTTCACAAAGAAGGCGCTTGTAGGGATTTTTGTGGCTCTTGTCATCCTGAACTTTTCTTTTGAAATCCATTGATTTTCTATAAATCTACACTTTTGCGCAAAAAACTCTGCTCACCAGAGTTGGCCAGAACAAAAAAATATATGGCCAACTACTAAATAAATTGTTCCTGACCCTAAAGACACAGTGGTATGTGTGGCACTTTCCAGCCGCAGCCACCTGGTGTTCCTAGAGGTCTCCCATCACAGTACAAACCAGACCCTGTTCTGCTAAGCTTCAGAGGTCTCCCGTCACAGTCCATCACATTGAACTCACCAGGATGAGTCCGGAGATGAGGGAGGAGGTTCCAGTTAGCGCCACGTAGAACTTAGGGGTGAGTGTGTTCAGAAACATGCTGACTGCAAAAACACAAGATGAAAATACAAATTAATCTCAAAACTATGGGAAAATGCCCAGAGAATTCATAAACAGGTGGAGAATGTAACCTCTCTTCATGCTAACAATAGGACCCCCCCATGCCTTCTGACTAAACGCTCTACTTTCAAACTAGTTGCCAATGATGTTGTGGACAGAACCAAGTATTGCCTCCAATTTAGTTTTGGGAATTGTTCCAGTTTGCACTTTTATCACCACATGGGATCGTTTCTCTGTATAATCATTTCAACCATTTATCTTAAAGCCTAGCGTACATCGACAGAGAAACTGGGGACAACTAGTTGCAAGGCGGCTTTTGGCGACTGAGAGGAGATGGTGGGAGATGATCAGTTGCCGAAATCGGTCGATGTGCGCGCTCTTACAACTGGAGATGATCAGTCGGTCTCCAGTTCCAGTCAGTTGCCCGTGTTCTACTTTTCGGCAACTAGTTGTCCTCAGTTGCCCCGATGTGCGCGCTCCATGCGCCGCTCCGACAACGTGTGTGTATTGCGTGTATTGCGTGCCCGCAACAGTTTATGTCAGAAAACACACTGTGGTTGAGGCCAGTTGCTGTCGATGTACGCGCTGTTATTCAAGAGACTGGCCTGCGACTCAGAGTTGCCCGTTTTCGCCAGATTGTCGATGTGTGCGGGGCAGCAACTCAGAGGCGACGGATATAATCAGTTGCCAGTCCGATGTACGCTAGGCTTAAAAGCTGGGGCACTTTATTTTCAAAGTACAAATAATGAAGCAATGTAATAAGATTCATGTCACGAGCTCCTGGCTCTAGAACAGTTTGCTTCTATCACTACATTTCACCTGCACGTTTGGCCTCTGTCTCATCTTTAGAGAAGATTTTTTTTTCAAAAAGAGAGACCCAACCTCACTCTAATCAGCTCTCAGTCCAAACAGTCAAATAGTGATCTAATAGTGACTCACAGGGCTCTTTCTTACACAAAAGGTAACATGTTTTTTAAGAGATGAAGACAGCATGTTGCAGCCTGATTTGACTGTTAGGACAAATGTGCATTTATTATTATTATATTTATTATCATGGGAATAAAGTTAAGTACCCCATGCTTTATTCTTTTCTACGCTTGTAATCTTGGTCCAACAGTGTTTTTTTATGAACTATTCTGCTGTGGAGAGTTGCTAATTGACCATGCTTTATGATGACGGCTGAAAAGGCCGATTGACTCGACCCTTTCTCTGTGTCTGAGGAGGAAGCAGCTGCGAGTGTTTCTCAAAGACGCTCTGTGTGACGAGAGCCTCCACTCGAACTCCAACACTGGACCAGACGGTGCACAGACTGAGGACAGAGATCCTCTATGTGAGCCGAGCTTACACTATATAGACTGTATGTGGACTGACTGAGTGTGACATCACCATAGTGTTAGCCTTCATGCCAAAGAGGCTGATTTGAACATAAGATAGCTGGAACCATAACCTAATATGGGCATCTGATACGATGGGGTTAGTATAGCGCAGAAACAGGGGAAGCCGTGTAACGGTTACTAAAGCAAGCTAGAGTTCCCCTCCCAAATTAAGGCATCTGATTGGTCAAGTCTTATATGGCTCATATCTTGAATTTACAAAAAGAATATCGAAATATAAATACCCGGATCATAGGGTTCTGCATATTTCAAGCCCAAAATGGTGTGTGTGACACAAACGGAACAAGATTAAGTAGAGTATACTTTTACGTGTAAGTAAATAGGGGCCAAGAGCGTCTTGGAGCAAAACTTCGTCCATGATCACTTTCCTGTTGGGCTTCATTGAGCTAGCAGTTTAGCATTGTGCGTGTATATACAAGCTATGCTCCACACTATGACTGCATGATATTGTGGTATGATAAGTGATAGTGGTGTCAAGGACTGCAACAACCATATGCTGTGATATTTTCCTTTCCCAAAGAAAATTATCTGTTGGAAGTTCATCTCTTTTCCTGCCATGTTGTGTTTTTAACATTAACCGGAATATTTAGCAGATGGAAGGAACAATGTGGAAACTACCGTAACTATAAAGTGGAGGAAATACTATTGTTTTAAAAAGGAAGAAAACAGCCATCTTTTATAATTTTAGCTTAGGTCATTACTAGTTTGAAAGCAGAGCATTTAGACAATTGTGACAAAAACGCAAAACAACCCTTCTGTCCAAATGCTCAGTTATCAAACTTTAATGACTGTGACAGATTGCAATACAACTGCAAGCTTTCCATTGGGCACGGACATTAGTTCCCATTTCTCTCACAAGATGCCTATTGTCGTCGTCTCTTACACCATTTTTTAGGTCAGTCATATATTTTGTATTTAAATCAATTACTTCATATTCTAAAAGTAAATGTTTTGAAGAGGTTTAAGATTAAAATTACCAGGAAAAATTGTTTGAAAGTCTGTTCTTGAATATTTTAGACCAGTCCAGAAATTTTAGACTGGGACTTTTAGAATTACTCTTCAAACAAAATGCTGGTCCATACAGCGTGCTGTAATAAAGGCTAGCAGCTACAAAGGTCTAACATGAGCTCTCCTCATTCTGGGTGAAAACATGCAAGGATGCTAATGTATTTGCCCTATGTATGTGAACACACAGGCAGAACACACAAGAAACCCAGTCTATAGCACTCATTATTCCTGCTGTTTTTACCCACACAGCTTCAGATGCTAAGCTAAACTCACAAAAACACAGGTTAGCAGCATGTTTTGTTAGCACTGGGGAGAACCACAACACACAGCGACACGCACAAATGAACGGAGCGTAGGAAAAGCATGAAATGGAGCAGGTTTTTTCTGCCTTCACTTACGTGACGATTCCGTTCCAAACATGTCTAGGCCTCAAAACGTGCGGGGAAGAGGATGGAGGATGGAGCAGACTGACAGCTACACAGGGGGTATCCAAGCGACAAAGCATCCGCGATCTGGAGCTGGTTTATCCCCCCCCCCCTGCTTTAGTAGCTCCACACACAAAAAAAGCGTACAAAAAATATATAAGTGTAATTAGTCCATTGCGAAGGCTGGCGTTGGGAGTAGCATCGCGGCGCTGATTGTTGATAGATAGGAGGAGAGGTGAGGAGGAGAAGGGGAGGGGGGAGGCCGGAGGAAGCCCAGAGAGAGAGGCCTGGGCTGGGGGGAGAGCAAGGCTGAGCTGGGCTTCTGGTGGGGGGCTCCCTGGTGACGGAAAGATGGTGCTGGAATGAGACAATAGCCAAAACAATGACGTTACAAAGGGGAAGGCTGGGGGATGGACTGGAGCAGATAAAGCAATGGACTGGTGTGCTATTAATAGGGCTGTATAGGCGGGGAAATACAATATGGAATTACTGTTCCAGAAAGGAAGGATAAAAATGTAATCTGTACAATTTATTTGCAATACACTGGGCCCTGGTTCATTGCAAAAACCCCGCAATAAATCCTTGAAGTAGTGTATGTTTTAAGACTGAAAAACCCTTCACATTATACACTTTTCTAACCACCTGAACTTATGACAGCTGAAGTGCGACCACAGAGATATCAAACCTATTTGTTGTAGATCTCTGCACTTCTGCATTTTTCAAAAGCCAGGCACACACTGTAAAATACAGCAGAGGCCATTGTGCTGAGGGCCAGGAGCAGGACTGAGGGCTCCGGGAAGTCCCAGAGAGAGAGTGAGACCAGAGAGACCACAAAGAGACCAGAGAGAGACAAGAATCTTGTGCTATCTTCGGGTCAAACTGACCCACCACAGTGATTAAAAAAATACCCTAAATATTTTTTTTTTTTTTTATTATTATTTTGATGATTTTTTTCTAACTTGACTGGCCCTGGGTCATTTAGATCCATTTAGACCCCAATTTAGCGTATATTTTCTTCTAAATTGAATCAAGTGTGGTGGGTCATTTTGACCAGAGGGTAGCAGAAGGATTAATTAGTAACTGATGTTATGCTAGCAGTTATATGATGTTATTGGAGTATACACCCTTCTAAAATATATAATGAAAATATTATCTTTGTATGGAAGAACCAAACAGTTCTATAGGAACATAGGTTTTTTTCAGTGGCTGTGTATACCATCATCCTCTTGAACTTGAGAATCTATTTTGACACAGATTTTGCTAATGAAAATTAGAACAAGCATTTCTCACTTAAGCAAAATCTGAATTTGAGCAATTTCAGCTTTTAACTATTTTTTTGTCTAAAACTGACAACTTTTGATTCTATTGTAATTGTAACATTGATTCTACTAATCAATGCAACATGCCTGCTTCACTCTGGCACTCTATGGTGAAGGGTTTTCCAAAGAGCAGCTCAGGCTGAAGCTGGTGTGGAGTTTCAGATCTAAATTAAGACGTCTATCTCTTTCTGATGCATTGGTCTGACCATAGACTGTATAAAGATGGACAGTGCTAACCCGCCAGCTCACTGAAGCTCAATAGGGAAGTGTTCATAGACGAAGTTTTGGTCCAACTGGCTCTGGCTCCTATTGACATTACATTGACTACATCCTCGAGCTCAGCAGCCATTTGTGTCACACTCACCATTTTGAGTTTAAAACAATCCATGGTTTGACCATGGACCAATCCAAGGCCATCTGTTGCAGGGGAAAACTCGAGCTTGCCTTAGCAACCATCTTAGAAACACATCTGACCCCGTTAAAAAAGCCTATGTTCAAATTGGCCTTTTTTTCGCACTAACACTATGATGTTACAGTCGGTCAGTCCACTCCTAACACACAGACTCTATATTTGAAGCATTTTAGTAACAATACTCCCTTGGGCTGGGCTTTCTGGAGATTAAAAATTGGACAGTGTGAAATAATCTTTAAAAAGACAAAATAGAATGAACTTTTTCTTTATGCAAACTCAGCAATAGTTCTACTCGTGTCTGCATTTTCAAAACAAACACACTCTCCCCAAGCTTCACTCGGTCCTCAAGCTCGGTGACATATTCAAATGGCTCCTGGGAGCCACGCAGAGGTGTGACAGATACAGCGGTCGTCCTGTCCTTTTGAACCGATGTAAATAACAGCATTTGCATCACGGCTTTTGTTTGTGCATTTGAATATTTATTTGCACGGAAATTTGAGTGAAACCTCAGCTATAATCAAACACTGATGGATTTTCCACTGGGTTTTATGAGTGACATTTTGGTCACAGCCTGGCTCAGACTGGTTATAGTTGTAGAGGACATACTGAGTTTTTAGTTTTATAATCAAAATATATGTTTTTTGAGCGCTGCTTTCTTTCTTACTATGCTGCATCACTGAAACTTCCTCACTGTGGGATGTAGGATGAAAAAATGTTCTCTTATTGATCAATAGTTTGTACAAAGTTTTTGTAAAAAGTTAAATGTATCAGAATCAGAAACAGAATCATTTTTATTGCCACGTAAGTAACAGGAAGTCACAGACTTGGGAATTGCTTTGGCTCAGTGAAAGTCAGAAAGAGATGATAAAAATAGAGAATAAAAAACACTTCTAAGGAATAAATTTAAATTTAAATGTAGTGAACATATCAGACCACAACATAATTTTTTGCAAACTTATATAGCCCTGCGAGTCACTATTTGACTCTCTGGGTTGAGCGCGAATTGGCTGAGTGAGAGTAGAACTCTATTTTTCACTTTTCTGTCTGAAAAGGCTGATCTGAGACCAATGCTAGTAACATACTGACTTTACTTTATTTACTGTCCTTAAAATCTGTATGTGCGGAATAATAATAAAAAGATTCAAATTGAAAAGGCTGATCTAAAGATGTGAGAGGCCAAAATTCAGGTGAAAACTAGTGATAGATGCAAATTATTTTGAGAGTGAGAAATGTTATTACAGACTTAAATTCCATTGTTTTTTGAAAGCTAGGTACCCCAGCTTTAACTACATTTAGCAGACCTGTAACGTCTTTCTTTATCTCTATCCATGCTAATATGAGAACTTCTGGTCTGACATCCCCTCGCTCCTTCTGTCCAAATTCTCCATTTTAAAACAGTTCCATGGACGTTCTTCCCAAAAATTCACTTGTGGGAATTTCTCCAGTAAAATTACGCTGTTGACAACTGTGTGCCTTCAATCAGATGTACCTCTAGTGCTACCCTCGCCTTGAGTCAAAATGACCCACTCCAGTTAATGGTCTAAATGACCCAGGGCTGGTCAAATTAGGAAATATCATCAAAATCCTGCAAAAGAACAAAACAAGTATGGTATTTTTTAATCACTGTGGCGGGTCAATTTGACCCAAGAACAGCACAAGGGTTAAATAACTATTTTTGGAGAAAGCGCGACTGGAAAACAGGAATTGTGAGCCCATCTTAATCCCTACACATTCATTACACATATGGCTCTATCCGCATTGTAATAACTGACTAATATTACAAACAACATAAGAACGTTTTTGAGGAAAAAAATAAATACAAATGCCTTTTAAAGTTAGCTTATTTTCATTTTTATACATCCAACACATGTATGAGTCTCAAAAGTAGAATTTTAGTGCAGACAAAGCATGCATCTCTCCTTTCCCCTTAACCAAAACACATCTATTCCCGAATGTAAACCTGTTTTCGCTTTCTGCTATGGCTTTCCTTAAGAATTAAGCTATTAATCTATTGCAAACCTTTGCCAAATTGCATTGTATTCGCTCCTGCTGCAGAAATAAATAAAAAAAACTTATTATGCATTGTATTGTCTCATAATTTGGAGTTATTTTAATAAACAGGCACACACGAATGAGTCATATAAAGAATAGAACTAATTTTGATGTTTGTCAGTTTGCATCAAGCTGAAAATCTAATGCACTTTGTTAATTTTGCGTGAAAAAGCAGCAAAACTTCACAAAGTGACTCCTTACATTAAATCCTATAGAGGGCTAGTCGCTGTTAGCTCCACTGCTAACGACTTTAAATTGGGCTAAAAGTGAGATTATTGGCGTGAGTGGTGTGTTCAGAGGTGCGGGGGATTAGAGCGGGGATTTGGCTTACCTCGGGGTGGGATAACGCGGGTTAGGTCCGAGTTAAAGCCCTGTTAGGAGAGGGCATTTCCCCGCAAGCAGCTGGACATGTGTCGGTGTGCGAGACGTGTCTGTTAGCATGTGTTAGCTCCGCGTTAGCTGCATTTGAGGTGGCACTTTCTCGCAATAAAATCCAATGATATATCGTACTATATATTTTATCTAAATACAACTACAATGATGGATTATTATTAAAAATGTTTAATTTGAAGTACGTGTGTGCGTGTTTACTTGTACGTTTTTATTATTAATAATTTGGACAAAGCAGATTTCTATTTCTTTATTTTGTTTGTTTTATTTACGGACAATAGTAATACAATATAACCTCTTCTTGTGCTGGACGATCCAACTTTTAAACCAAAAAAAAAATTAACCCCTTTTTCAAATCCATGTATAGTTCGTCTCTCTGAAAGCAGTTTTCTCCTATTGTTTTCACGTGTGGATCATAGATTGTGTCTGTGTGGATTTAGCCTCCGTCACATCTTTAAATCAACTTTTTCAGACAGAAAGTGAAAAAGATAGGACTGCACTCATTCTGTCAATGAGCTCCCAGCCCAGAGTCAAGTATGCAAAATATAAAAGGTTTTCTAATGTGATGAAGACAGTACTTATGGTCAGAAGACTTTCTGTTAGAACATATTTAGAATTACCTTAATCTGAGTGACTTTCAGAAATAGTAACTAAATTGTAATAGCATTTTGCTGACAAGAGACATGTTATAGTAGTACAATTACATCATATACAGTAACTGGACTCATGCCAGGTTCATGCAATCTTAGAGTTAGGACTTCCCACTCATAAAAATAGAAATTAATGCTAAACAACTCGAGCTGAATTTTCTCTGGGTTCCAATCACTGACACTTGGATAGAAGGAGTGACAACCTGTGAAGGATGTTTTAGATCACAACCAAAACCCTATTTAGCAAATATTTATTATAAGGAACAACATGTTTGCCCTTGTATTTCTCAGATCACAGCTCTGTGTACGTGTTCCTCTGGATTGCTCTGATATTTGGACAGTTGGATGATCACATCGGTATCTCAGTTTCAAAGATTGCGCAGAAATGGCATGAGACAAGAGCTTTCAGACAGAAGGGTTTGAGCCTAAAGTTCTTGATATAAGCCTTTTTAAAAAGTTACGTACACCAGCTTTTAAATGTTGCCATCAAAACCTCCATAGCTGGATATAATGTGCTATTTTGAAACGAAGCTCCCTCACCTTTCACAAAGCAGAGTTGAGGCGTTGATAGAAAATTTGACTTTTAATGCAACATTTTGTGAAGTACAGTTTTTTTTGGATGAGGACTCCACCGGACACAGACAGGACTGTTAGAAGAGTGAGCCATGAGAGAATATACATGAGCTATCCAGGTTAATACGATCAAAATGAACAGTGGACGATCGAGCAGACAGCCGTGTTCAAACCAATGCACATTAGAAGATACATTTCTGTCATTTATTGTAGTTAAAGTACCAAAAACAAAAAAAGAAATCTGTGTATTTTTTAAATTTTTCCAGGTGGTGAAGCTAAAAAGGGGGGGATGCCCGACACATTTCTCCTCGTTTACAATCGGCACAAGAATAAAAGGAAAAGTCTCACCCTTGAATTGACTTAGCACATTCGGAAAAATTTATGTTTTCTTGTCGAAGTGGATTTTTGCATACGAGTGGTTCCTATGTCTTTCAGATAGAGGTTTTTGTACAGTAGCTTGGATGGAACTATCGCACCGCTTAGAAAATCAGGACTTCATAGCTGGAGAGCTTAACATTAGTTTACATTTTTGAGCATTGTTTATGATGCAGTTGTTAGTTACAAGAATTTTCAAGCCAAGATTTTAGCATCAAGCTAACTGTATGTATTAAATGGAAGCACAAAAGGTGAAACTATATCCTTTCAGATGTCAAAATGTAAAAAAAGATGACCGTTATAGCATTTTGGCTCCACCGAATCAAACTACTGCACTGCACCCCTTCTTGAAGCCGTGTTGCGTGAGACCAGACCTGATTTTGTGGCGCATTTCTCTAGTTTTTGTACAAAGACGAGACACCTATCCATTCATGCAGAGAGACTGGGGTTAGAGGGGCACGAGGGCGGAGAGCTTGTCCATTTTTACACTTTTTTCATTATATTTTGGTGGATTTTTCTAAGCGTTTTGCATCTCTTTCCCGATCTTGTAGCTCAGGATCTTGTTCCAGTCGATCTTGGTGCGCGTCACAGGGAGCTGGCGGCGTAAGGCTTTGAAGGTGGTGTCCGACATCGTCTGGTAGTTCTCATTGATGGCCATCTGTTGGACAAAGGGAAAAAAATATGTTAGAAATACTTAAGGCAATGGATTTATTGTGTTAGCCTTAATGTGGAAGAGGCAGATTTGAACATAAGCTAGTTGGTGACAATTTCTTCAGCAGTGTTAGGTGGGCGGGGTCAGACTTGTTGCTAAGACTGTTGCCAGGGCAAGGTGGGGTTTCCACCGCAAATTAAGGCGGAGTGCTTTGGACATAGTCAGATATAGGGCTCACATCTGGATTTACAAAGACAATATCACAATATAAACACCAGGATCACAGAGCGCTAAACCACGGATAGTTTTTAAAGTGGTGAGTGTGACAAACTGTTAATGAGCAAGGAGTTTACTTTTCAATGTAAGTCACTAGGGAGCCAGAGAGAGTAGAGAGTAGAAACTCAATCCATGAGCACTTCCCTACAGATCGGTTGTTTTGGGCCTTCATGGATACATACTTGCATCCTGAGAAGAGCCCTAAATTACAATTGGCATTGTACTTTAAAGTGCATTTCCAAAGCATAAGAATACAGAGCATCACAATGATTCCAAACAATATGAGTGAGTTGCCTATAACCGTCCAAATACATACATGTCTAATATAGACTTGCTTTTCCCTGTACCCTTAAATGCAACACTGCCCGTTGTCTCAAAAGGATCTGGTTTCTGTGGTTTCCTGCACCAGCTCCTTCAAACGGACTGATTTTTCACTGCGCACACATGAGTCTTTTATCAATCACCATAAAATGGAGAAGGATTCAGTTTTCATTTGTGCTTTAGAAAGAGTTGGGAATCTGGAGCAGGGTTAGCAACTACCTAGCATCTGTATACAGTCTAGGGCACAGACCTGGTATTCGGTCTCTGCATTCTTCATGATGTTCACAAACTGGTCTGCGGTGTTCCCCTCATTCTGAAAAAAAACACACTTCATCAGTTACCCACAGAAATAATAGCTAATAAAATAATATGAAGTCAATAGGTAAATAAATACAAAACAATATTACAAAATAACAATAACACATTAATCTATAATAATGAGATGTAGAGAATTACAAACACCCATATTAAAATCATCTCATATTTTTACATGTTTTTTATAAATGTATAAGTTTGTACTCACAGACACAGTCATATCTTCCTTGACCTCTTTGTGGCTCACCAGCTGCACGTTCCCATCCTCATAATAATGAACCTACAACAAAAAACAAACATCATTTAAAAAATCTATTCTCAGGAAAACGCCACCAAAATGTAATATTTCATTAAAATTAAAAAACTTTTGCCATTAAGTTATAGTATAGTATATTTAGAGTTGATTATCCATCAATTTTCTTCCCCTTAATCCATTTCTGGGTTGGGGGCGTGGCAATCAGCTGCCACCCAATACTCAGAGCACAAGCCCCTCCTTGATCCTCCTCCAGGTGGTGAGTCCACAGGAGGATGGCTGCTCTGTCAGTGTTGACACAGCCTTGGTCTCTCAGCTGGGGCTTCAGGCAAAGTGGGGTTAAATGTCTTTTCCAAGGACACATTGACAACAGTGGGAGTTGGTGGAGAAGGTCTCACGGTGATCTTGAACCGTTAAAGGCCAACGCTCTGCCAACTGACCCTCTGTCGCCCCCAGAGTAGAGTATAGTAATTTTATTTACCTGTATTTTCATGATGCCAGCCACCCGAGTAGATGGAGAAGAGGTGCTGAACTTCCACTCCGACCTCCAGCGCCCGTTCCTGAAAAAAAAAAAAAAAAAAAAAAAAAAAAACATGAAAATCAGAGACCGACTAGAGAGAGAGAGAACAAAGATGGAGAGGCCAGAAAGAGACGAGAGGGAGAGACTATAGAGAGAGACCATTTATGTGCTGACAAAGAGAACACTCTGGGGCAAACAGACAATGTGGAACTTTGTGGCAGTCTGTTTCATGTGGATTGTTCCAGGAATTACTGAGAAATTGGCTCCAAGACTAGAATCTGACTATTCTTAGAAAACCAATCCTAATTATAGCACAGATAAATTCCCAGTCCTCCCAGTCGGTTTGGATTCCATACACAGCTCACCTGCGCTTCTACAGTAATAATCCCAGAGCGCCACTCGTCCCATCAGATTAGAACAGATTAGGAGGAGATAACAGCCGCTAAAGATTTCACAGTTAAATCAATCAGATTAGGAGTTATGGGACAGCGTTTCTCAAGAGGTTTGCGGGCGTGAATCCCAATCAACAGTACAATGATAGGGATAAGGGTCAAATCACTCAAGTGGCAGCAGTAGTAGTAACAGTAGCAGTAGAAGAGGTAAAAGTAGCAGGGGTGGTAGAAACAGTAACAGTAGTAGTAGTAGTAGTAGTAGTAGTAGTAGCAGCAGCAGCAACAACAACAGTAGTAGTAGCAGCAATAGTATCAACATGCTGAAAATAAATTGTACAAAATCTAAAGTCGTACCAGAAGTTTTTTGGTTGAAATTGATGGCACTCGATGCAGACGATGATGGTTTGCTGCCCGTCAATGTTTTTCCCATAAACCTGAAAATAAAAAAGTGGAAAAAGACAATTATATCAGTGAAAACTGCTTCTCTGGGACAGAAGCACTTTCTTATTGTCGTTGTTTCACGATGTTGCCGGAAGAAAAAGAAAAGTAAATTTTGGTCAAGTTTCGAAAGAAGTTGCACATTACTGGAGCAGAATAGTCCCCCTCAAATAATCAAATAACTCATCTACTGACCTCACTTTGTACATAATTTCACTTGATAAATGCTTGGAAACTGCAGAAAACATCTCGACCCAATAATGAAGCAAACTATTAAAAATAACAATGAGACTATACTGTCATTTTGTGTTTTAGAATGGGAAATGATATCTCAAGTATAAAATATATAGTGAAACAAGTAAGATACCAGAGTGCAATGGCACGTTAGTGTGCCTTCAGATGTCTTTGGGAAATGATCCAATATCACTTCATTAGTCAAAATAAAGTGGAAAAACATAAAGAAGATTTTTTTTGCACTCGTTTGATTTTCTATGTTATACATTTTGATGATAGTTTCAGTTTCAGCTTCAGCTTCAGCTGGTGATTGTTTTCATTGAAAAGTGTACCACGGCAGCTGGACAGCTCAGAGAGAGAGACAGAGACAGAGAGAGAGAGACGAATCAGAGAAAGAGAGAACCAGACCAGAGAGAGACAGATTAGTTTTACCCAACTGATGATTTGATGTTGCAATAGTAATCATGCTAGTGGGACTAACAGATCAGAGAGAGAGACACAGACCAGAGAGAGTGCCTCTGTGCGACGCCTAGATGCGTCCAAATACGTACATTTCTCATATAAACTTGATTTATATCCTGTGCCCTTAAATGCATCACTGCCCGTTGGCCCCATAACATTTGCCCCAGAGTGTGGTCTTACGGTGCAGACTCCGTTGGGGTAGTGCTCCTTCACGTAGCCCCTCACAGCAGAGTCCACTGCGTTCCTCCAGCCCTCGATGGAGGTGTCCGGGTCCTGAGGCCGGGGGTCGCTCGCCTCTTTGCGGAGGTGGTCAAACTTAAACGAGATCTTGTTCTTCGGGTCCAGGACGCGGCCGTTACCCAGGTCTCCATGCTCCGTGATTAAGACCTAAAACAAAAACAGACCCAGGTTTGGAAACATCACAGAACATATGTTGTTGCTGTGTTCATTATGAGCTTTAAGCATTTTGAGAATGTTCACTTTGGCATTTCATGTTTTACAATTACAGATCAATTCAGAGAAACCAGAGAAAGACTAGAGACTAAAAAGAGAGAAACCCGTATGAGACAGGGAGAGACTAGAGAGGGCCCCCTCTCCCCCACCATGTGTCCTTGTGTGCATGTATGGTTTATTGCGTTGTCTCTGTATGCATCTTGTAACATTTTTTTGTTAAATTAAACTTCTTTACATCTTTGGTTTATGCCTAATTTAGTGAGCCACAATAGATTCCTGTTATAACAGACTAAGGGTTTACACAGAGAGAACCAGATCTATAAACGATATTAAAGTTTGTACCTGTTCGTCATATCCCTCAACCTTCACTGGAGTGAACTGATCCAGGTTATACTGTGCAAACGCACTGTGGAACAAATAACGGTTAGAGCTGATAGTTCATCACAAGGATAACACAAATCTGCAAAACAGTGGACACTAATAATTGTTTTGAATCATACAAAGACTACAACATCCAAGCTTGACATGTGTGAACAGGTTTTCATATTTACACTTAATATTAACTAACATAAATCATTTTTCACTGAATTCTAAAATTCTATGTGAAAATTAAAATCTATTCATCAAAATAAATACAAAATTCCCAGAGTGATTCCGACTAGTGGGACTATTTTACGGCTAGGAAGTCAATTGCAAAACAGGAATAACAATAGGAGTACCAGTAGTGCATATTTGACCTATGTACAATAAAAAATTCTTGTACTTAAGTGAAAGAAGCACGAGCTGTACTCACTGAGCTGCACCTTCCCTGAGGAGATTGTCATTGTTGAGCAGCAATCGCACGTCTAGAAAACAACATTTTTGCAACGTTAGAAAAAACAGTAAACCGACCAAGTTTGACATCACCATAATGTTATCAAGAGCATTAGGGCGATTTGAACATAAGCTAGCTCGAGGCAATTTCATTTTTGGGGTGTTAGCTAAAACGGTTACTAATGGTTACTAACAGGCCTTATATGGCTCATATCTGGATTTACAAAGATAATATAAAAATATAAACACCAGGATCACAGAGCTAAACCATAGATCTTTTTAAGCCCAAAATGGTGAGTGTGATACAAACGGTCACAGAGCTAAAAGGAGCTTACTTTACAATGCAAGTCAATAGGAACCAGCAGAATGTCCATGGCACTTCCCTATTGGGCTGTCAGACAGACAGACACAGATGACACAAACACAATTTGATACAGACCATTGAAGACCTCGTTGAACTCTCCTGGCGGCGCGTGGATGATGAAGTTGGCTGCTACACGTACCTGCAACACAAACAAGTATAACACATTAATGTAGTATATAGGTATATAAGCAGGCCTTGACATTAAGCTTTGTCAGCCATTTGCCCTTCGGGCAAGTACCATTTCTATTTTACTTGCCCAATGTCAAAAGTTACTTGCTCAAATATTTTGCAATACAATAAGTTAAGTTAAGACGGCTGTTGTGGTGCGTTATGTTTGATATGGTCCTGTCCGCACGTCTATAGCCCGCTCGTTTAAAGTCCACTCTCGGTTAGAGCTGCAACTAACAATTATTTTGTAATCGATTAATCTATCGATTATTTTTACGATTAATCGAGTAATCGCTTGGCTGTGAATTGTGTAGAAAAAAAATATTTTTTCATCACAAAAAGCTAAAGCGGCAACACTCGAGGACGTATTGATGGCGTAAACTTAAAGTAAATGTTTGTAACAGGCTCTTTGTGCTAATTCTGCTATCTGATTGGATGAGACAGACAGATATTCATGAAATTATAAAAACAAAGTCTGTTTTAATAAAAAATACTACATTTTCATGTCATTTTTGCTCTGTTTGAGTCCGTGTGAACCAGAAAACGATTAATCGATTACTAAAATAGTTGTCGATTATTTCAATAATCGATTAGTCGTCGATTAATCGATTAGTTGTTTCAGCCCTACTCTCGGTACCACGTTAAGGCTGTGCGTTCGCTGAGCTGTTGTCAGAACGGCTGTTATAAAGCGGCTGCAGTTGCTCCCAGGGTCAGAACAGAGGATGTGAATTCCGTTCGAGTACGTAACGCAAACAGCAGTAAATGCACGCAGTCACACAGAGGAAAAAAGCCTGAAATTGGGGATCTGCAAACAAATTTTATCTCAGGTTTATCCTTGATGAATTTCATTGGTCAAGAGAATTTTCCAATGATGAAAATTGCTCATAAAAAGATAAACAGACGTGTCCGCTCCCAGCTCGAGAGGAAGAAATGTGGGAATGCATTCCCGGCCTGAATGAGTTAAAGTGATACATCACTTGCCCGATCGGACAACTTGTTAAGACAGCGCACTTACCCATCCCAAATCTTTAGTTGCTCCGGGCAAGCGGACAACCGTTAATGTCGAGCCCTGATATAAGTATAGCCCCTTTTGCAGAAACCATAGGAAAAAGTGAGCATTTACTTTAAACCAAGTACTTGCTCTGTAGGATAGCTGCCCACTGTCTGAAGCTTTTCTTTTAAATATACAGTGGGTTGTATAAGTACTCATTCGAACCTTTAGAAATTTTTCCATGTTAGGACCAAACATATTTGATTGAAATTCCATGTGAAAGAATCTAGAACTATTCCATGTTGAAACCTCAACTCTAAGTTGCTAGAAGAAAATAGGAACCAAGAAAAAAAACATGCCTTTACCATAAATTAAAAATAAATGCTTGGTTCTGTGGATTTTTTACAGGACGTTTTGTGCATTTCTGTTAAAACTGATTTGGCAGACACTGAGGGGAACAGCCTCAGTCCTGGTTCTAAAGCCTCAGTCCTGAATGGTCACAGCCCTTAAAACTGAGGTAAATCTTGGTTCACTGGTTACTGGAAAAGATCTTCATTGAATAATGTTTAGTCAGTTTAAAGCTATAACTTAAACTGTTTTCTCATTTTCCAAACTGTAATCATTTGTTTACTATCTCACAACTCCACTTGTGTCTGCTTGGTCCTAATGTTGTTGTAATCCCCTTGGTCTCCACTTGAGGCTGCTCTGCCCCCGCTATCCTGCTCTTCCTGGTTCTGTCTGGTCACATGACACCTCCCCCTCACGGCTCACGACCAAATAAGGTCATGAAAATGTGCAGTGTGTGAAGGAGCTTTCTTTCACACACATCTCAGGCATCAAGAGACAAGAGCAGAAAATCTTTGTTCAGGGTAAACCAGCGCAAAAGATCTGATGACCAGATTTATGACAAACGATTTGAATCAGTGTAATCAACTACAAGAAACTACTTTTAAGAAAAAAAAAAAAAGACGCTTTCATTGTATACATAACAATACAGCCATAGTACCTGGTATAAATAAAAGATTGGTTCAAATTAAACTTTGGGTACCCATTTGGATGGAACTGTAAAGCCATCCATGTCACTGGTCCCTGGCTCTAAAACAGTAAATTTAGAGGCCTCAGACACATCTTTCAGACAGAAAACCCTTGAATGAATTGGACAAACACGTGATATAATTTTCAAGGGATCAAATCATATCAATGTTGTTTGGACTAATTTAATCTATCGAAGGTTAGATAGATTCTTTACTGACCCATAGTAAAGTGTCCGGTGTCCGGCAGCAGAAACACATCATCCATACAAACATTAATAAATAATTTTAGAGAGCACATGTTAAACTCAGGCATTTGGCGTCAAGCTCCAGATTTTTGTTCTCTGCCTAAAAAAAAATATAATAAACCTCCAGGCCAATTGTGCTCTACACCCTCACTCCAGTCCACTCTCCCCAAACAGTGAGAAAGTGACTCACAGGCCATATAAAAATTCATTGGAACCCGGCCATTTTCATCTGTTATCTGTATCTGTATATTGACATATATGTACCTGTAGCTCCCACTGAAAGATCAAGGCTATGCTCACACTCAGAGAGCAGCCGTCCTCCTGTGGACTCACCACCTGCAGAGGGTCAGTGAGGGGCTGGTGCTATGAGACTTGGGTGGCATCTCTGACTGCCACCCCCCTGACCCAGAAATGGATTAAAGGGTAGAAAATGGATGGATGGATGTACCTGTATGTATGTAGGATTGTTAGAATAGATAAGTCATGTTGTGTTCTTGCCATAAAACCGGTCGTTGGTGATTTTACAAGTTCTGTCTCTGGTTTATTTATAGTCTTATTTCTTCCTTTTAATTCAATCCATTTGAAATACAATCTTCTCCAGTTGGAGGCGATTTGTAATGAGGAAATCCCCTCTTGAATAGCAGCGTCTACTCTCCATTATTTACTTGGGATGAAAACAGTGGGACTGACCCACTTTCACACAGGATCAAACAGAGCTGCAGTAGTGGGTTCTATTCCCAGCAGAGGCTCATTAACTCAGCAGCAAAAACATTTGAAACCAGGATGGAAGAGTGAGACTAAACCAAACATTCACACAAAGATCTTTGCACCAGTGACAAAAGGACACCCAGCTATCTACATACAATACAGTGGTCCCTCGTTTATCCTGGGGGTTAATGTGTTCTAATAACCCACGATAAGTGAAATCCTTGATTGAAGTTGCAGCTGTATGTTTTACACCAGTGTTTTTCAACCACTGTGCCGCGGCACACTAGTGTGCCGTATGATATTGTCTGGTGTGCCGTGAGAAATTCGTCTACTTTGTCTAAAAATAGCTGCATTCGCTGTTGACGAGCGGTGACTTGTTTTGAACTGTGAGTAACCATGTAGTACTTTTTCAAATCAGTAGATGGCAGCAGATAGCTAAGTACTTTGAAACTGAAAAATTGGATGCGACCACTGGCTGTAACAGGTCAGCATTGTGGCGAGAAAGGTAAAATTGGATGCGACCAACAAATGTGGGAGGGAGCGAGACAAGAGCTTTGTGGCGAGTGAGAAGTGAAAGTGATAGAGACGTTTTTGAAAATGAATTATGCCGTTTCTGAACAGGATTAACATCCTCCGCTCTGCCCCGGGGCAGCTGTGGCCGCGTTGTAGTGGTTTAACTATGAAATGTACAATTTTTGTACAACAGCTCTCGCAAACGCACTTCTGAACTGGGTGCCGAGCGCAGACCATAGTCGAGTGGACAGAACCATAGACATGCGGACCGGACAGAACCATGGACTCGCGTTCAGGACCTCCCGTGTCCCTCATCCAAAAGTCCTGAATTTAAAGCTCGGATACCAAAATTTTTCCCATGCACTAACAATGCATGTTCTTTGTGTGAGTTATTATTTGACTATTTGGGCAGAAAGTGGATTTTCTTAGTTTTTTTCCACACAGTTAGTGCCACTTTATTCCCAAACTCTTGTTAATTGTATCGAGAAATATTAAATAAAGCTTAATGTCAAGGCCTGGACTTAAGCATTTTGATGAGAATAACTGTATATTGTGAATAGGCTACAGAGTATACTGTATACATTATAAGATAACATATACTTTATATATCACACAGAGTATGTACAGTATATATTTTTTTACATTAGTACTGTATACATTTTTACATTTTCTCCTGGAGGTGTGCCGCAAGATTTTTTCAGTGAAAAAAGTGTGCCTTGGCTCAAAAAAGGTTGAAAAACACTGTTTTACACACTTCACCACCTGAACTTACGACTGCATGAAGTGCCATTGGGAGAAATATCAAACGTGTTGGTTGTAGGTCTGAGCGCTGCTGCAGCTGTCATGAGCCTCGCATGACAGCTGCAGCAGCGGCACGGTGGCTGAGTGGATAGCACTCTCGCCTCTCAGCAAGAAGGTCCTGGGTTCGAATCCCGGTTGGACCAGGGCCTTTCTGAGTGGAGTTTGCATGTTCTCCCCGTGTCTGCGTAGGTTTCCTCCGGGTGCTCCGGTTTCCCCTACCACTAAAAATATGTACAATAGGTCTGGCATGTGCCTCCTGTACTGGCGACCCCCACCCAACAATTGTAAACCGCTTTGAGACTCCGATGTGCAGTGAAAAGGCGGTATATAAATAAAAGCTTACTTACTTACTTACTCGCATACACTGTAAAGTACAGCTGCAGAGGACACAGCACATTGTAAAAAATCTGCGAAATAGCAAGTCCGCAAAAGGTGAACCACGCTATAGCAACGGACCACTGTTCATGTTTGTTGAAAAGTCCCATCAAGGTTGATATAAAAGCCATAATGGTGAATGGGTAGGCCTGTCACGATAACAAATTTTGCTGGACGATTAATTGTCTGAGAAATTATTGCCATAAGCGATAATATTCTCGTTATGAGATCATTTTCATATAATACAATGAATAGGTGTACCTGCATCATTATCAAAGAGAAACAAACTTTTATTATTAGACCA